TTATTCTTGTGTGACTTCTTTCTAAAGCTTACATTTTTTTTATTTAGAAATGTAATTCTGTGATCATTAATGTCTAAAATTTAAATATATAGGTAATTGAAATGCATTCAATGTAAGCAATTTTAAGGATTTTATCAGATATATAAAGCCTGGAGTTTACCAAAGCATATCGTCGAAATAGCATTTCTAGAATTGAACATATATCTTTTTATTATCAAACCACAAAAAATGCATAACTCAATTATGGTTTAACATGATACATTTATATTCACCAAACCAAGTTAATAACAATAAAAATGGCTGACATTTATTGAACATTCACTTTATATCAAACACTGTCTAAGCCTTTTATGTATATTTATCTTATTTAATCCTCAGAACTATTTCACAATTACTTTTCACATCTTATAGGTGAGAAAATGGAGGCACGAAAGTTTAAGAACTAGCCCATTACTTATAAATAATCAAAGTTAAGAATGAGTTAAGGAAATACCAAAACCTGGCAAAGACACAGTGAAAAAAGAAAACTTCAGGCCAATATTCCTGATTAACATAGACTCAAAAATCCTCAACAAAATACTAGCAAAGTGAATCTAGCAACACATCAAAAAACTAATCCACCACAATCAAGTAGACTTTATTTCTGGAATGATAGGTTAGTTCAACATACACAAATAAATAAATGTGATTCATCACATAAACAGAACTTTAAAACAAAAGCCACATGATCATCTCAACAGACGCAGGAAAAAGTTTTTGATAAAATTCAACATCCCTTCATATTAAAAACCCTCTAAAAATTGGGCATCAGAGGAACATATGTCAAAATATTAATAGCCATCTATGATAAACCCACAGCCAAAATCATTTCAAATGGGCAAAAGCTGGACCCAATCCCAGTGAGAAGTGGAACAAGACAAGGATGCCCACTGTCATCACTCTTATTCAACACAGTACTGCAAGTCTTAGCCAAAGCAATCAGGCAAAAGAAAGAAAGGGCATTCAAATAAAAACAGGAAGTCAAAGTATCTCTCTTCACAGACAATATGATTCTACACCTGGAAAACCCCACAGCCTCTGCCCAAAGGCTCCTAGAACTGATAACTTCAGTAAAGTTTCAGGAGACAAAACCAATGTAAAAAATAAGCAGAATTTCTTTTCTTTTTTTTTAATTGTACTTTACATTCTGGGGTACATGTGCAGATCTTGCAGAATTGTTGCATAGGTACACACATGTCATGGTGGTTTGCTGTCTCCATCCCCCCATCACCTACATCAGGTATTTCTCCCAGTGTTATCCCTCCCCCACCTCCCTGTCCCCCGCTGTCCCTCCCCTGGCCCCCCCCCCCCTAACACACCCCAGTGTGTGATGTTCCCCTCCCTGTGCCCATGTGTTCTCTTGTTCAACACTTGCCTATGAGTGAGAACATGCGGTGTTTGTTTTTCTGTTCGTGTGTCAGTTTGCTGAGAATGATTGTTTCTAGATTCATTCATGTGCCTACAAAGGACACAAACTCATCATTTTTTATGACCGCATAGTATTCCATGGTGTATATGTGCCACATTTTCTTTGTCCAGTCTATCATTGGGCATTTGGGTTGGTTCCAGGTCTTTGCTATTGTAAACAGTGCCACAATGAACATACATGAGCATGAGCCTATAATAGAACAATTTATAATACTTTGGGTATATACCCAGTTATGAGATTGCTAGATCAAATGGAATTTCTATTTCTAGATCCTTGATGAATCACCACACTGTCTTCCACAATGGTTGAACTAATTTACACTCCCACTAACAGTGTAAAAGTGTTCCTATTTCTCCATGTCCTCTCCAGCATCTGTTGCCTTCAGATTTTTTAATGATCGCCATTCTAACTGGTGTGAGATGGTATCTTAATGTGGTTTTGATTTGCATTTCTTTAATGACCAGTGATGATGAGCATATTTTCATATGTTTGTTGGCCTCATATATGTCTTCTTTTGAAAAGTGTCTGTTCATATCCTTTGCCCAATTTTGAATGGGTTTGTTTTTTTCTGGTAAATCTGCTTTAGTTCTTTATAGATTACAGACATTAGCCCTTTGTCAGATGGGTAGATTGCAAAGTTTTTTCCCATTTTGTTGGTTGCCAGTTCACTCTAATGGATTGTTTCTTTTGTTGTGCAGAAAATCTTATGTTCAGTTACATTCCATTTGTCTTATTTTGGCTTTTGTTGCCATTGCTTTTGGTGTTTTAGTCATAAAGTCCTTGCCTATGCCTATGTCCTGAATGGTATTGCCTAGGTTTTCTTCTAAGGTCTTTATGGTGTTAGGGCTTATGTTTAAATCGTTAATCCATCTAGAGTTAATTTTAGTGTAAGTGTGAGAACGTGGTCCAGCTTCAGCTTCTGCACATGGCTAGCCAGTTTTCCCAACACCATTTATTATACAGGGAATTCTTTCACCATTTCTTGTTTTTGTCAGGTTTGTCAAAGATCAGATGGTTGTAGATGTGTGACATTGCTTCTGAGACTTCTATTCTGTTCCATTGGTTTATATCTCTGTTCTGGTACCAGTACCATGCTGTTTTGATTACTGTAGGCTTGTAGTATAGTTTGAAGTCAGGTAGTGTGATGCCTCCAGCTTTGTTCTCTTTGCTTATGTGGGCTCTCATTTGGTTCCATATGAAGTTTAAGGTGGTTTTTTCCAGTTCTGTGAAGAGGGTCATAGGCAGCTTGATGGGGATAGTGTTGAATCTGTAAATTACTTTGGGAAGTTTGGCCATTTTCATCATATCGATTCTTCCTAACCATGAGCATGGAAGGTTTTTCCATCTGTTTGTGTCCTCTCTTATTTCCTTGAGCAGTGGTTTGTAGTTCTCCTTGACGAGATACTTTACATCCTTTGCTAGTTATATTCCTAGGTATTTTAGTCTCTTTGTAGCAATTGTGAGTGGGAGTTCACCCATGATTTGGCTCTCTGTTAGTCTGTTATTGGTGTATAGGAATACGTGTGATTTCTGCACATTGATTTTGTATCCTGAGACTTTGCTGAAGTTGCTTATCAGTTTAAGGAGATTTGGGGCTGAGATGATGGGGTCTTCTAAACACACCATCATGTTGTCTGCAAATAGAGACAATTTGACTTCCTCTTTTCCTAACTAAATACCCTTTATTTCTTTTTCTTGCCTAAAATTTAGCAGCATTTCATACACCAATAATATTCAAGCCGAGAGCAAAAGAATAAGATTGCAATTCCATTCACAATAGTCATATACACACACAAAAATACCTAGGTATACAGCTAAACAGGAAAGTGAAAGATCTCTATAACAAGAATTACAAAACACTGCTGAAAGAAATCAAGATGACACCAAAAAATGAAAATACATTTCATGCTCATGGATAGGAAGAATCGAAATTGTTAAAATGGTCATACTTCCCAAAGCAATCTACAAATTCAATGCCATTCCTAACAAATTACCAATGTCATGTTTCACAGAATTAGAAAAAAAACTATTCTAAAATTCATATGGAATCCAAAAGGAGTTGTACTAACCAAAGCAATCCTAAGCAAAAAAAAAAAAAAAAAAAAAAAAAAAAAACAAAGCTGGAAGCATCAAACTACCCAACTCAAACTAAACTACGAGGCTACGACAACCAAAACAGCATGGTATTGGCACAAAAATGACATGATGGAAAAGGTTAGAGAACCCAGAAATACAGCCATGTATCTACAACCATCTGATCTTTGACATAATCAACAATAATAAGCAGTGAGGAAAGAACTCCCCATTCAATAAATGCTGCTGGGATAACTGGCTAGCCCTATGCAGAAGATTGAAACTGGAACATTTCCTTTCATTACTATTCTGGATGTAGGCCTTCTCAAAGATTTTATAACGAAGACACCTAAAAGCAATTGCAACAAAAACAAAAATTAACAAGTGGGGTCTAATCAAACTAAAGAGCTTCAGCACAGCCAAAGGAATATCAACAAAGTAAAGAGAAAACATACGGAATGGGAGAAAATATTTGCAAATCATGCACCCTATAAATGCCTAATAACCAGAACCTCTAAGGGACTTAATAAGCACCAAACAACTTCATTAGAAATTGACAAAGGACATGAACAGACACATCTCAAAAGAATACATACCTGCAGCAATCAGCGTATGAAAAAATGTTCAACATCATTAATCATTAGAGAAATGCAAATCAAAACCACTATGAGATATCATCTCACACCAGTCAAAATGGCTACTATTAAAAAGTAAAAAAACAACAGATGTTGGTAAAGTTGCCAAAAAAAAAAAAAAAAAGAAACACTTATACACTGCTGGTGAGAAGGTAAATTAGTTTAGGCACTGTAGAAAGCAGTGTGGCAATTTCAGAATTATCATTCAACCCAGAAATTCCATTATTGTGTATGTACCCAAAGGAATATAAATTGTTCTACCATAAAGACATATGCACGCATACATTTATTGCAGCACTATTCACAATAGCAAACACATGGAATCAACCTAGATGCCCATCAATAGTGGAATGCATAAAGAAAATGTGGTATATATACATCATGGAGTACCATGCAGCCCTAAGAAAGAAATGTCTTTTGCAGCAAAATGGATGCAGCTGGAGACCATTATCCTGTGAATTAACACAGGAACAGAAAACCAAATACCGCATGTTCTCACTTATAAGTGGGGGCTAAACACTGACTACATCTGGACACAAAGAGGGGAACAACAGACACTGGGGCCTACTTAAGGGTGGAGGGTGGGAGGTGGGTACCAGGATGATGAAATCCTTTGTACACCAAACCCCAGCAACATGTAATTTACCCACAATAACAAATCTTCACATGTACTCCCTGAACCTAAAATACAACTTGAAAATATATATTATTGTTTTATAGGTTTTATAAATAGCACATGAATTCGATGTATCAGGGACCAGCATACATGTTTTTACATTAAGTCTTTACACAAATGCAAATAAAAATGTCTAACTGCAACCTACCTTTATCAAAAATACCTGGCAATCACTGATATAGTCATATTCTAGTCCATCAAAAGAATAATAATGCCGGTCCCCATATATTGTGCACACTGCTGGGCATGGATAATATGTGCAATTGAACATTCCTCGTCGACAAACACTATCGAAAAATAACACAAGTTACCTTTCTAAAGAACTTGACCTTAACTAGTGATTTCAAGCGACAGTAATAACAGAATGTTTGTATTCAAGAGAATTCATGAGCAAATATTCCTTATGAATATTGCCAGTTCATTCTGATACCACCTCTTACATTGACAAAGAAGCCACATATTTATCACTTTGTTTAAATAAATTATCAGACACCAAAACAAACTCTAGGAATTGTGCATAGGTCACACAGAAAATAGATGATGGAATGAAAAACTGAACACAGATCTGCTGGTGGCTGAAAGAGCACAATGCCATCTCCCACACTTGAGTAAATTTAAATGTATTAGACATGACATTGCTCATGAATTTAGAACTTTTGTCCATATTTTAGAGAAATTATATTTCAAATTTTATTTTATGGTATTCTTTTGACTTATCTCGAAACTTGAAACATTCCATTAAATATGGTCTTTTCTTTGTAATATTTAGCACTTTCTTATAAACATGATTTTTTCCTATTAAAATTTTAGGTTGTTGTATTTCACACTTTTCTTCTGAGCTGAACAAATATGCATAAAGATAATGATATGGTTCCCTGTGGATAGTAACTGTCCACCAACTCCTACAAGCCTTTAAAATCTTATTTGCTCAGGCTTGATTTACTTTTTGCTGATGTCAGTCTCATTAAATAAATACAAGATGATTGAAATTAACACAATTACTTAGGAAAATATTTGTGAAATAAATGGATCTCCTTACCAGGTGTAACATGGTGTAGCAATCACTTCTCCTGAGAGATACTCCCAGTCTTTCCAGATACATGGGCAGCTTTCAGGAACATAACACTTTCCTTTGTGCTCTGCCATTCTTCCAAATGAAGAAGTAAAATGCTATTTAGTATGAACTACCAATTTCAGTTTTAAAATATCAGTAACCTTAGCACATTAAAACGATCATCTACATTTATTAGACCTGTCTAAGACACTCTATCTGACCTGCCGAGGAGCTGAATCCAGTCTTCCTCCCTGTTTTTCCACGGAATACCTTACACATCACAGTACTAAATGACAGGCAAATGACTAGATGTGGTATCTGTACCTTTTTGTTATTCACTAAGTGCATAAAAAGAAGACAGAAGCCTACATTTCTAATGTAGTGAGTCATTCCAGAAAAAAAAAAATTATAGAGGAAGTGAGAGTCCCTTTCTTTAATATCTGCTACTTAGAAGAGTCTGTGGGATCCAACAATTTTTTGATGAAATAGTAAATTATCAAATGGTTAACATTTTTATTACGAGATGTAGAGAGTATCAAAAGCTTCTTTCTGAGTGCTTAAAGTTGAAATCAGGAGAGTTTAGGTATGTGTGGAACTAAAAACATTATATTGTTTCACATTATTTCTTATTTACTTTTTATTTCACTCAAGGAGTGTTTAATAACTTGAATACTAGGAATTACAAGCAATTATCAAAAGCAGAAACTCATATTCATAAAACTTTATACATGATTTGAACTAAAAGACATTTACACTACTAAAATCAAACATGCATCACCTTCAAACATTCTTATATCATGATTTTTACATATTATATTAGTTAACACCATTCCTCATCACTACATAAATTTTATCATACAGTTGTACCATTCTTCTCGAATTTTTTTTATCTTTGTGTTCATTCTTTACATTATCCTTCTTGAGAACAGTGTGGATTTCATCCATTACCTTAGATACATTTCTGATTGTCTTATTCAGTTGGTTTTCAAATAGTAAATTCATGTTTTCTGAAATCTTTAAGTTTTCTTGTAACTGACTATGGTCCTTTTTAACTTCTCTGAGTTCACCAGAGAGGACTTTTGTTGGAATTCTCCAAATTTAATGTGGTTTTTTTCATCTTCATCTGTTTTTTCCTCCCAGTAACTGCAGCTTCTTTTCTACCTCAGTGTTTCTTATTTATTTAATGTAATAAGTTTTGAATGTTGGTTTCAAGTGTTATTTTCTTCTGGAAAGATTGTTTCCTGAAATAGTGTCTAAAAATGTCTATGACAATAAAACTTAAAATATACAAATGTTATATTTTAATGTACAATTTAAATATAAATATAAAATTAAGTATAAAATTTTAATATAAAAATTGAACTAATCTCAGAGAAGAATAAATTTTGGTGTGTTATTTAAATATTTGGTGTGAAGATTAAATATATACTACATATAATATCAAATCCTTTAATATAAATAAACATATATTTCAATATTCTTACATTTTTTTCTAAAAGTTTTAATAAATAACTTAATAATTATATAGTATAATAATAAATAATTTTGTTAGTAATAAAATATAAATATAATTACATATATAAAATAGCAATAAGGATAAAAATAACATTAAATTTAAAAATCTGTTGTAATTTAAATAATTTATTATGAATTAATCTATAATTTAACTTATATAAATAACAAACAATAAATTAATTAAAATGAAAATCTCCTAAAATAGATAAGATGTAAAATTTTTTTTACATTTTGCTTAAAATGTAAAAATTTAATATTACAAAAATTAACATGGAATTCAGGAACCCGAAGTTATTTCCTCTTCTCTAAAACAGAAATAATTCCTCATGTTGTTTTAGCACTCTGTTTTCTCTCTCATGACTCTTTGTACACAGTCTTGTAATTCCTTATTCAATGGAGAGCATATGCTATCCACTACACTTTCAGCTTCACTCAAGAGGACCATAAATATCTTGTTAATGTTCATGTCACAATGAGTAATGCATAGAAGACAACTGCTGAGTAAAGGTGAATAAAATTATTTATATAAATGATACATTATCTCATTTAGATTTCTTTCAGACCAACAATGCCCCAGATCTCTCACCTCGGCCCTCCCAAACTTCTAGTCACTCATCCTGGGCTTTGAATTTTTCTTCTGCCTGGAAAATTCTTTTCCCATGTTCTGTCTGGGAAACTTATCATTTAAGACTCAATTCGGTGCAATCTTTATGTCCCTAATTCCCTCACATACTCTGTATACTTTGTAATTTTATAAACTTTTATTGGAGGATTTATCGCAATAAACCGTTAAATATTTCATTAAATATCTTATAATGATAAAAATAATAACAAAACTCATATTTTTGAATGCTTGCTATGGCAAGGCACTATTCTAACCATTTTAACTATGCCACTAACTGATCTTATCCTAGTGACAATCCCCTAAGGTAGATTCTATTATTATCTAATAAATGTATTTTACCACTCCCCATTCCTATAGCTTAACACAATGCCTCAAACATCACATGCATCATAAACTTTAATTGTTCAGTTGTTTAAGTGAGGGAAACCTCACCAAAATGAACCACAATTCTTATATCTCCAGACAAAGTCATGGTTTTAACTGACTTTGCTAATGACTGATGAGTTTTTCATAACTACTCAAAACTGGAAGAAGGAAAGGGAAAACTTCAAATCACTGTAAATTATACGTGTATTGCCAATTTGGTTCTAGACCACAGCAATAAAGTTAATATCATTAAAAAGCAAATCACACAGATTTGTTTCATTTCCTAGTGCATATAAAAGTTATATTTACATTATAGTCTATTAAATGCATAATAGCTTTATATCTAAAAATAAAAAAATAAAAAATACCTTAATTTAAAAATACTTTATTGCTAAAAAAAAAAAAGTTAATGATCATCTGAGCCTTCAGGGAATCATAATCTTTTTGCTGGAGCAGGGTTTTACTTCAATGTTGATGGCTGCTGACTGATCAGGGCGGTGGTTGCTGAAGGTTGGAGTGGCTGTGGCAATTTCTTGAAATAAGACACAGTGAAGTTTGCCACATTGATTGACTCTCCCTTTCACAAAAGGTTTTTCTGTATTATGCAATGCATTTGATAGTATTTTACCTAAAAATTTCTTTCAAAATTAGAGTCAGTCCTCTTAAACCCTATCACTGCTTTATTCAACTAAGTTTATGTAACATTCTGAATCCTTTATTATCATTCCAACAATGTTCACAGCATCTTCACCACGTATAGATCCCATCTCAAGAAACCACTTTTTTTGCTCAACTGTAAGAAGCAACTTTCAAGCAATATTCAAGTTTTATCATGAGATTGAAGTAAATCAGTCACATCTCCAAGATTCACTTCTAATTCTAGTTCTCTTGCTATTTCATTCATATCTGCAATTACTTCCTCCACTGACGTCTCAAAACCATCAAAGTTATCCATGAGGGTTGGAATAAACATCTTTCAAACTCCTGTGCATGTTGATATTTTGACCTCTGCCCACGAATCACTAATGTTCTTAATGGTATTTAGAATAGTGAAAACTTTCCAAAATATTTTCAATTTTCTTTTCCCAGATCCATCAGAGAAATTACTATCTATGGCAGGTATAGCCCTGTGAAATGTATTTCTTAAATAATAAGATTTTAAAGTTGAAATTACTCCTTGATCAATGGCTGCAGAATAAATGTGTTGGCAAGCATGAAAACAAAATTAATAGATACTCCTGCATCTCCACTGGAGCTCCCAGGTGACCAGGTGCACTGCCAATAAGTAGTAATATTTTTAAAGGAATCTTTTTTTTTCTAGGTATCAGGTCGCAACAGTGGACTTAAAATATTCAGTAAACCATGCTGTAAACAAACATGCTGACATCCAGGCTTTGTTGTTCCATTTACAGAGCACAGGTAGAGTAGATTTAGCATAATTCTTAAGGTCCCTATGATTTTTTAAATGGCAAATGAGCATTGACTTCAACTTAAAGCCACCATCTGCATTAGCCCCTAACAAGAGAGTCAGCCTGTCCGTGGAAGCTTTGAAGCCAAGCATTGCCTTCTCTCTAGCTATGAAAGTCCTAAATGGCACCTTATTCCTATATAAATCTGTTTCATCTACATTGAAAACATATTGTTTAGGGTAGCCACCTTCATCAGTTATCTTTGTTACATCCTCTGGATAACTGGCTACAGTTTCTCCATCAGCATTTGCACTTTTATGTTATGGAGATCGTTTCTTTTCTTAAAGAAACGATGAGCCAACCTTCTGTTGGCTTCAAACTTTTCTTCCACAGCTTTCTCACCTCTCCCAGCCATTATAGAATTAAAAAAGTTAAAATTTTGCTCTGGATTAAACCTTTGCATAAGGGAATGTTGCAGCTGGTTTGATCTATCCAGAAGACTTTATCCGTATCAGCGATAAGGCTGCTTTGCTTTCTTATCATTTGTGAGTTCACTGGAATAGTAACACTTTTCATTCCTTTCATGAACTTCTTTGCATTCACAATTTGGCTAACTGCTGCAAAAGAGCTAGCTTGTGGACTCCCTTAGCTTTCGATACGCCTTCCTCACTAAATCTAATCATTTCTAGCTTTCGATTTAAGGTGACAGATGTGTGACTCTTCCTTTCTCTTGAACTTTTGGTGGCCATTGTAGAGTTATTAATTGGCCTAATTTCAATATTGTTGTGTCTGAGGTAATAGAGAAACCAGAGAAGAGGGAGAGAGATGGGTAAATGGCCCATACATGGAGCAATCGGAACACACACAACATTCATCAATTAATTTTTCCATCTTATATGGGCACAGTTTGTGGTACCCTGAAGTAATTACATAGTAATCAAAGTTCACTGTTTACAGATTACCATAACAGATATAATGATAATGAAAAAGTTCTGAAATCTCGCAAAAAAATTACCAAAATATGACACAGAGACACCAAGTAAGCACATGCTGTTGGAAAATGGCACCATCAGATTTGCTTGATGCAGGGTTGCCACAAACCTTCAATTTGTAAAAAAAGAAAAAACGCAACACTTTTGAAGTGCGATAAATCAAAACACGATGAAACAAGGTATGCCTGTATCTGCTTTAAGCAGGTTTGGGCAGTGGGATAAGAAACATTTACTGAGTACTTACTATATAACTGGTGTGCAGCATATACGCAGTCATCCAAGAAGTAAATATACTGTTATATCCATTTTAAAAAGAGAAACTTGAGATTTCAAGTGGTGTAGTAACTTGCCATGAGGTACCTCAGCTAATAAGGAAGCCTAGCATAGAAGCCATTTCTATCTGACCTTTCCACTATACTACTTTCCATTTCTTCAACCCACAGTGATTTCTCAATTAGGGTTCTGTGGTCCTCTTATAGTCAATAAACTGCTGGTACTTTTAGAAGACACATGAAAACAAGTCACACTGGACTACTGTGCCAAAGTGAGCCAGACAAGGTCACATGGAAGACATGGCAAATCATATTACCATAAACAATGTTGTAAGAGAAAGTTATCTTAACAAAATATTTCCAAATCTGTCAGATGCCTCGAAGTCGATTCCAACGACATTTATTTCAATACAGTCAGAGAAGGTAGGGTAGGAGGAAATCTCCTTAACATTTTGTAATGAGATTTAGCCAGTAAATACATAAATCATTGTCCAACTAAACGTCAAAGGTGACAGTAAATATATTTTAAAAGATAATACCTTAAGCACAGCATATAAAACAAAATTAGGAAATGGCTTTAATTAGCCATGCAATCCCAAGAGTCACAATCAAATCAAATAAATCAAGCAATGTTGTGGGTTTTAATTATTCTACCATAATAAAGGTTTTATTTCCCTTCTCCTTTTTACTAAAATGTCTTCCTTGCTTATCTGCTCTATGGCCTAATTTCTACCTGTCTTTATTTTCCCAGGCACAGGCACTTGTTCTTTTGTGACCTTTTTTCTCTGCCTCCTATGCCCTTTCTTTCTAAAGAGATTAATACCAGTCCCAACTTACTTGGCTCTTCAACCTATTCCAGATGGGGGCCATTTAGACAAACGTGATTCTCCTGGGAAACAAACCACAAGACCTCACTTTTCTTTGCTCCTGGTTTATATGAGCTGATCCCAGGAATCCCTTTGTGTGAACATGTTCATTGAGGAAGAATGGGTGACCTGTTTGCCTTAGATGGCACTCCCTCTGCACTGACTCTATTTCATTACCAGAAGAGGGAGGGGCAGGGAGGGCAGATTATATGTGCACCTGTGAGGAAGCCAATAGCTACCAGATTCTGTGTTTGTCTTTCACACGTACTAGGTATTTCTGCAATGGAAGACCATTTATGAAGATAAGAGTAGAATATGCTGCCACAAAATAGTGGCTCATATTTATTAAATACACACACACACACACACCACATCTCACAATGCCTAACTGAGGCTTAAAAGGAACTTGCAGAAGAATCACTTCACTAACAGCATCAGAGCTGGGATTTGAGCGGTGATGTGTCTGAAGCCAGACCTCCTACTCTTACCCATACCCTTTGTTGCCTTGATACGCTATTTTCTTTAAAATAAAACAGTTGGCATCACTAGTACAACTTTACATCAACACCAGTAACTGCACAATACAATATTTTACAATGTATTTGAAGAGTGTTTTGAATGAAGAGTGCTTGTGTCACTTTCCCAAAATTGCAGTTTAATCAGGGGAGAAATTCCAAGTTCATCCAGAAATGAGTTTTCAACTCAATTCAGTATATTACATTAATAATATTTTACCATGTTACATAAGCCAAGCAAAATAATTACAATAGTCTAGCTACCAACCCAGTTAACCACTAGTCAGAACAACAATTCTGGCTATTTCTGTAAATAATATTTTCAAGAGATTTTGTGCTTTCAGTCAAAACCTGAATGTTCTGTATTATGAAGAAGAGGCTTACCCTGGTGCACAAACACAGCCACTTATACAGGGTGAGGATGGGGCACAAGTGAAGTTCATGGCTAGGTTTGCACATGTAGTCTCACAGTTAATACCACCGGCTGGCAATTCAGGGTCAGGAAACCTGCAGTCGAAATATTCTTTTCCCGCTGGGCAGACGTGAACTTCAGATATAAGCACAGACAAAATGTCCTTAACTTGTATCTGCTCCATAGACAGATAATCATACTGGCATGTACTTGTCATCAAAACAAAATTCACCATAAAATATTTTAAGAATTATGATTAGATAATGCTCTTACTCTTGATTTTTAGTTGATGAGGTTATAAATATTCCCTAGCCAAATTCCCTTTAGTCACTAAATAGGTTTATTCCAAACCTAATTAGAGTTTGAAAATGTTAGCTGCCTTCCATAAGACAGTAACTAATTAGAATATAATTTTCTGAAGTCAAGAAACAGGATATTTTTATTAATTCATACATACATAATCAATTTTTAAAAATATATTATCAATTTTTATGCATAACATAAAAGCATTGTGACTTTTTAAAAGCCACAATGAACACATGATTCTTCTAAATCTTGCTTCAACTCGAGTCATTGTTTATATCAGTTCTCACTATACCACAGAAGTGCAGAGGTAGACATAATTATAGTCAAGACAGGGGCTCCATATTCTTCTAGAAAGCTTCTGGGCTTTTACAGATCAAATACATTTCCTCATGTGGGGCCAGAGGGATCAAATCTTGTGGGTTCCTCTGTGAGAAGGCTAGCCACCTGGGCTTCCCTTCATTGACCGTGAGTCACCCTGAATCAAATGGGACAGAGTCAGGATGGCTACTGAGTGTGTGTGGTCCATAAACATGTCTTGCAAAGAAACCCTAGGCTTGTCTGAATCCTTGTAAAGTAGATTCAGGACACATACTTCAAAGCTCTTTAATAATAATGTATACCAGGCCATTCAAATATAGAACAAAGCAGTAATAGCTCATAATTACTTTTATCAGCCTACACTCTTCCTGCCCATTAAAATCTATGAAAGCAAGTGTTGTTTATTATGTGCCTAGAATTTGCCCATGGTAACTAGGAATTTGAGGCTCTTTATATGATGAAAATAAATAATATATAGGATGCTAATATATAAGATCTTCGGAAAGATATTTAAGTATAAAATGACATTCTGAAGGGATGACAGTAGATGTCATTTTACATGCCATGTTAAATTTATTGCTACTAGTCCCAGAGTCTTGCAACTCATAATGCAGCCCAGGAACCAGAAGTATTAATGTTACCTTGGCCACTGATAGAAATGTAGGATCTCAGGTGTCACCCCTGACCTAATGAAGCAGAATCTGCACTTTAACAAGATCCCCACATGAGCACACTAAAATCTGAGAAGTGATGGTCTAGAGTAGAGTTTCCCAATTTCTTTCCCACAAATGGGTTACAGCAGGTGCCTAGATACATATCCCTAAAGTCCTTGAGGTGTCTGAGGTGCTCTTGTGGAAGGCAGCATCTAGGCAGCATCTCTAGGGTTGATTTGCTCTACCCCTTAACTGACTTACATGTTCAAAGAAGACTATCCTAAAAATATTACAATTTTCAAGGTGGATAAAGTTGAGAAGCCCTGGAATGCCATGCATTCCCAAGGCTATAACCATGCACATTGGGAAGGAGGGCTGTGAATGACTGACAACATCTCCCAGGAGTGGAGGCAGAATCAGAGGTGCATCCTCCTTCAGGAAAACATCTTTTGAGATCTTACCAGCAGAGGGCGTTGCTAATTCATCACACTGCACAGTCCCATTTGAACACTGGCTAGAAGTAAATAAATAGTTAATTTATGGAATCAAATCTGGTTTGTTTGTTTTTCTCCTGAATTTCAACAACAATCTAATGTACAAGAATTGATTGAGTATATTATACAAATGTTATTTTTCCCACAAATTTTTTTTACAAGTTTTTAGCTTAGGTCCGATTTCAGGAGCACTATTTCAACACAAAACGTTTTTATCAAACACCTATAAGTGTAGAGCATTGGAATAGGCATGGGAGACATGAACACCAAAATTCATAGTCTTTACCATAATTTGTCTCGTATGAGGGGAAGGAGCACAAATAAATAATGCATGCAGAGTGACACATGTAACATAGAAATATGTTAACAGATAGAAGTAAAACAAAGAAAAATGTTTTTAAAATCTGTTGGCAACCAACATCAGGTAGTCAAAGGAAGTAAAGTCTAAACAGTTTTGAAGAGTGGATGGAGGTCATGGCACACCTAAGGTAGGAAGGCTGTAACATTCAGTGGAAACACACAAACCATGAAGAAGTAAAACAGCATTCTACATGGCAAAGGGCAATGCAGGAAGGGACAGGCAGTGAGAATGGCAAAAGAGGCAGAGGCTAGCTCCTAGAAGATGCTAAGTAAGATTTTGCCCCTGAGGTGAGCCATTGAAGACCTTAAGCAGAAAAGTGATACGGTTGCTTTGAATCATTCTGGCAGTAGCATTGAAGATAGGGTGGAGTCACAGCTTCCTTGCAACTTAGATTCTAAAGTCAGGGTAAAAGGCAAGAGCCACATATAGGCAAGATTAACCTTGACAATCCCTGAAGATAACATGACAGGAAACAACACATCAGTTCTCAATAACTCCAATACAGTTTTCCTTCAGCTTTGGACCTGATTACATGTCCTATATTTAAGCCCAGATGAAGAAGCTGACTCACATGTACAGGCCACATCACATGAAAAATATACTATGCACACTTGAACACTAGAATGACACTCAGAGTGTAATTCACCACTGAGTCACCTCTGATCGAATTTGCTCACACTTTGAATGGCACAGAAGAACTGACACAGACAGGTCTCAGATCACACATCCAGGTCTTCCATATCATACTTATTCTGGGACAAAGGCTTTTAAAAAGGAATAGCAAACAAAGTCACTATATTAAGTGAATTTTTCTTTTTCTCATTGAGGAGGGATGGTTACTTTGTTTTTGCTAAGTTTACATAGATTAATTATATTAAATCCAAAAAGATATGACACCTCGGCAGAACGAAAGAGGGGAAACTCTAAAGGCAAGAACCCCAGAGAGGAAGGTCCAGGGAAGAGAGAGTGAGACACACTAATTGCCAAAGCAATGAAGATAGAAAGGAAGAAATGACTTTTGACTATACGTAGAAAGTAAAACCAAGTAAAATCCAAAGTTGTTAGGTATTTATTGATTAGGTGTTTTGAGAAGGAGGAAAGAGTGAAAAATGACTCCTAGAGCTCTGGCTTGGAAATCTGTGTGAATAGTAATACTGCCTACCACAGAAAGATCCAAGAGCTAGTTGCCATTGTGTCTTGATGTGGAGTGAGAGGAAGAGAGGTAGAGATAAAGATAAAGGTAAATTGAGCATAATCTATATTCTGCTGTAAATACAAAATCAGCTGCAGAGCAAAGTAGGCAGGAGACAAGCACTGCAGAGCCAGGTTGACTGGGATTAACTCCCAGCTTTAGTATCAGGTTCCTTAGCCACCTGTATCCCGTTTTCTTCACCTGTAAATGAGGATAAAGCAACATCGCCTATCACTTAGGGTTATGGTAATAAGTAAGTATTTTAATAATAAATATTAAACACTTAGAATGGTGCCAGCACAAAAGAAGGCACACAGTAATTGTTAGATATTATTATTATTGTTATTATTATTATCTACTATCTATTATTATCTGCGGGCACCTATGGGGCAACTACAAAAGGGAGGTTAGGAATTACATGTAAGTATGGACTGCTGCATGGACGTGCCTAGATTTTCAACAGAAAAGTTACAACCAGAATGAATGTTATCCTATGATTAAGTGTTATCTTTCTAGTATTGATGGCCCTGGGGAGGAGGCACACTTACTCTTATGCAGGACATTTTTCAAATCTATTTTGAAATGCTTTTTTTGAGCTCACTCAGCAATCCTATAATATTTAAACACCTACTTCACCCCTAACTTCTAAGAACCAAAAATGATCAGACTCTCATTTCACTGTGAGATACTTAAATTCATAACTCCCTTCTGCAGTTATGAGTACAAAACTTGGTTATTTCACTTTGAAATGTCATATATGCATGCATTATGTATATATGTGTTTGTACATATGTATACGATCATATATATGATTATAACGTACTTAAAGATTACATTGTTATCTTTATTTTTTAATTACAGAGGTCATATTTCAACTTATGGTTTGGGTTAAGAAATTATATTAACACGTACATCATTTGTGAAATATAATCCCCATCATCAAAACCTACCATAAGCCTGAGGGTGTGGGGATGAGCTCTCCAGGTTGATAAATACTGCCCCTATAATGACACCGGCAGTGGAATCTATACGAAAAAAAAAGTAAATTAAATGGGATATAATTTTTTTCAAAAGCCACTAAAATTCAATCCGATCCTGTGCTCTCCATAGGTCACTGTAAGGCACACTCTGAGGTCTGCATGATTCTCCGAGACTGCATGCAGTCCTGTTACACAAATGGCAGAGCTGCTTAGACATGAAGTTTTGTATGGCTTCAGGTTTTGTTTTCTAAAATACAACTCACAAAACAATGTTGTTTTTTTACTCACAAGAAAAATCACTGAATGCAATTCAGAGAAACATAACTGATATATTATTTAGCACTATGTATAAGACAAAAAGCTTTACTTCGTGTGTAAATTGAGAAATTTGTGAGTGCTATGATATTAAAGTCCTGTTACTGAAGTTTGCCATGTGACAATGAAACATAAACCTTGTTATTAATTTGACTGTGGTAAAAACAAGCAGGAATACACTTCAAGATCAACCATCAGAGATTCCTTCACTCTTTCTGTAGCTATTGATGAACATGTACAGGGTTAAAAAAAAAAAAAAGTAAAAACAGTAAGAAATATTTTTTCAAAAACTTCCCTGAAAGCTCATTTAGCCCATAAGAAGAAAAAGCAATTAAAACAGGATGCTGCCAACCTATTTCTGTGACTTACATGGGTACACAAAAGCTAAGAGTATCTTCATAGAATTTGCCTTCTGGACAGTTACAGCCTTCAGCACAGTCATCATTGCACTGCTCCGGGGAGGAGACAGAAATGCAGGAACGGAGGCAGAATGAGGAACAGTGATGGTACAGCATGCCCTTCTGGCACACCACAGCTAAGGACAAAGGAGCATTGTTTGAGAAAGATTTCCACGGCACATAGAAACATTTTATGCCTGCTTAGAAGTCTATGATAGAAAATGAAAGCTGGTCCATTACAAGCCAAGGAATTGGGAGAAGCTTAACTTGGATGCTCAAAGAGCAATATCCTCAGTTGAAATGAAAGACTAAAGCAGGGGTTGGAAATCTCTTTCTGCAAAAGGCCAAATGATAAATATTTTCAGCTTTGCAGATCACACAGTCCCTGTCACAACTACTCAACTCTGCCCTTGTAGCACAGAAGCAGCCATAGGTGACACAAACACAAATGGACATGACTGTATTTCAATAAATTTTATTCACAAAAATGCAGGAGACCCGATGGTTGAAGTTTGCCAACACCCAGACTGGAAGGAATTGGCTCATAGTATAGGCAGATGATAGAAAAAGTTCTCTAACTGCTGGGTCTGTGATTTAAAAGTTACCTCTAATAAATCAAAATCCAAGACTGACATCCTGCACATATTTGGCACATGAATGTACATTACTTTTATATTTACATTATTTTTATCTTAGAAAGCCAAAATTGAGCAGTTAACATCAATACCAGCCAATGATATCCCTGGAATAACTGGAAAAAGCTTTGTGAACCTACTGAGGGAGTGAGGAGGTGGAGAGGGTGATGCCCCAAGACAGCGGTGGAGGAGGTGCTGGTAAAAATTAGCTAACAAAAAAAATTATAAAACACACAAGGAAACAATCTACCATGAACAAAAATGGCAGACAAGATAAGTGTGAAAATTAAAGCCCCAACAATTGATAATAACTGCCTGTTGCATAACATCTATTTAAGTAGAAATCAACTATATTACCATATTCCACAATCTTTTTCAATACTTTCCAATATTTAGGTATGATATTTCCATGATAAGAATTTTTCAAATGTTTTAAATTATTTCTGTTGCGTATTTCAAAACAGTTACAGTAATTTCATTTATTACAAAACTAGTCAAAAATTATTGGTCTTATCCAACATATCTCCCATCTTAAGAAATTAAATATTTCATTTGTTTTTCATGTTTGTACATTATGAAAATATTTCAAGTAACTTACATGCAATATTGACACTTCATTTAAAAAATAAAAGCAGTCATTATAAACACAGAGGTCTCTAAGGTATTATCTGATAGCCTTTAGCTGTGCCATTGTACTCACCACAGAAAGAAATCTGAGCTCTGAAATCAATGGGAACACCGCGCTGGCCGCAGAGGTAGGCGTAATGGGCAAGAGCATTGCACAGGCAGGAGCTTCCACACTTGCATGCATCATGGCGGCATAGCTGATAGTACAGCCCAGGGCTAATATAGATGTGGCAAGGAGCAAAGAGGTCCTGGTGGATGACATCACAGTGTGCTGCATACCCAACTAACAGACAAAGAGCCCCATTAGCATCTTATTTAACAGTTCAGATCTTAGCCTTAAGTATCAAGTTCCAGAATACCAAAGCATTTTGCTTTCTTAGAAATACACTGTAGTGCATATTACTTTTAGTACAAGAGTGAACAATTTCACCTTATACAGTGTTTGTTTTTTATCATATTGGTAACAGCACTTAATCTATATTCAACAGTCTTTTAGGGATTAAAAAATAGTGCATTTTTCCTGAATAACATGAGTAACAGAAGGATTAATAGAAGCAGTGGCCTCAATCATCCCATTACATGAGGATCATCTAACAAACCTACTATAAAGAATTGGGGAGTATTGGGAGGCTTATTTCCAAACATCCACACATAATAAAGTGGTTCCAGATTGTGGATGTTATGGCAACTCTGTGTAATACACAATTGTCTGGGAAGAATGGGGAATCATCTCATTTCAACGGAGTCTCTGAAATGAATGGTAATGTGTCCGATGCCACATAGTCATTGAACTCAATGTCAATGTGTTCATTGTATAGTGCTTACATATATATTCTTAATGCGCAATGCATAGTGTACAATGTCCAGCAGATATTAGGAGCTCAACAATGTTTGATAAATAAATCTACAAATCCATGAATAAGTGAATAATTAATAGAAATTCGGGATTGGGGTATATGATAAGGGCCATAAGATATAACTATAAAATCACCTGGGAGGGGAGGGCATCTGTGTAATCATTTCTTGAAATTTGTTGATTTTTCCCTTGAGAATGACTGATCAGATATAATCCTTTATTGAAGTAACCAAGTTTGACAAAACAATTGGATTCCATCTTTCTAAAAGAGGGTGGGTTTGTAGTTTCTTGATGTAGTGGACCTAGTTTGCATTGGTTTCCTAACAGATAAAATTAATCAATCTTTCATTGTCATTGTCTTTGAGAGTCCAGATAAGCTGCTGGAGATCAGTTTTTTCAATACTAAGGAATTACACAGAACTTACTTTGTTGAGTATATTACATACATTTATTATTGATAAGGAAACATAATTGCTCAAGTATGATATTTTTGCATTCAGTATGTATATGTATATAAAAACAAATGACTGAAGCTATAGGAGTGTAGTGTTTACATATATATTCTTAATGCCAAGGATCCTGAAAGAGCAAAGTAATACACCAAAGAGGCCTAATAATTTGTAGACCAAAGTATATTCCCACTGACATTAAGTTAAGGGTAACTAAAGAAGATCTTCATGAAAAAATATCCTTTAGAATCTAGATCAAAATTATTGACTTTTGTTTATTTATTTTCCTTTCTTTGGAAATCTTCCTGAATTTACCCATTTGAAATTTTTTTTTTAATTACAGCTGATGGCAAAGCTAAATAGAAAAAGCTAATATTAAATATAATATTAAATATACATATATGTATATAGCATGTGTGTGGTTTAGGATGCATGTGGGGAATTTAGTGTGGGTAGTTCACATGATTATTTTCAAAGTAAAGGCAAATATCTCAAAATATAAATAGCCTATATATCCAGTTCAATATTTCAATTTCCATTATAAGATCATCACATATATATAGAAGACATGGGGCATGGGGAGAAAAGTGGTAGAAAATAGAGCAAAATGGTATATAATAAAGGAGATAACTAAAGAAATGATCACAGGGAAACTGATTTATCAATTGAGCTCTACTTCAACTTTCACGTTATTAAAAAATAAAGTTACTGCAATATTGAGGAGGACACCAAGAAAGAAACAAACCAAACAAGAGTAGTCGAAGGAGGAGGCGTAAATTAGTTGAAAGTTGGGGACAGAATAGAGGAAGGTATTGTTAAATGGGAGTGAGATTAAAAGTAATCATTCATGAAACTAAAAAACTTTAGTCTTTTCCTGTTATTACCGATAAGAAAAATGATCAGAGAGGTTAACAATCTTCAAGTTTAAAAGCTGACTTAGATTTTAAAAAAGAAAAAAATCACCAAGAGCAAGAGTATCTTGTGCTTTTTCCAGTATATCAGAATTCTATGTTAATACTAAAAACAATATGTCAATCAGACCAATCCTCCCAACAACAACCACACAATCCGTAAACTGTGCTGGCTTCTTATGAATGCTTAACCAATATGAGTAATATATTTTTTAAAAACTACATCAAAATACTGAACTAGCCAAGATGATTAAAGAAAAAAATAAGTTATAAGAATATTTAAGCATGTATATTAATTTTTTCACTATTATATATGTATGTCTTGTATTTATCTTGTATCTAAATATATACATGTATATCTTTTTTATTGTGAAGTGAACTAGGTTTTAACATGATTTGCTGGGGCTTTAGTTTTCAAAAAAAGGCAACCAAAAATTGTTAGCATGTGAGTTGTCCTATCATTGCAAATTGGAACTCTGGAGCATGCTCATCTCAAATTGTTGCTGACTCAAAGGCACAAAGCCTCTCTCTTTGGATCACTGGCTTCCTGCTTATAAATATGTGCTATGAGTAGGGACTTGTAATGAGATGGTAATAACTGACATTGAACATCTCGGGACTATCACCGCATTCTCAGAGGATCCCTACAGGCTTTTCTTTAGCATTTAAAGGCTCTAAAAACTCCCAAACGCTAGTCCATAGAGATTTCTTTTTTTTTTTTTTTTTTTGTACTTTAGGTTCTGGGGTACATGTGCAGATCATGCAGGATTGTTGCATAGGGACACATATGGCAATGTGGTTTGCTGCCTCCATACCCCCATCACCTACGTTTGGCATTTCTCCCCACGTTATCCCTCCCCAACCTCTCCACCTCCCCCCACTGTTCCCTCCCTTCCCCCCCGCACCAACAGACTCCAGTGTTTGATGCTCCCCTCCCGTCCACAGGGATTTCTAAAGACCTAAGAGAAGAAAAATTATGAATGCAAAGTAGAAAATAAAAGTTTAGAAACAGGGATTTCTAAACACCTAAAACAAGAAAATTTATGAATACAAAGTAGAAAATAAAAGTCATTATCAAGTTTTAAAAAATATATAGATTACATGAAAAGGCATATGTAAAGGCACAAATCATATTAAGTAAAGAAAAATACATGAGGAATGACATTGATTTTACCATAATGGAGAAAATCAGAATTTAAAATAAGTATCTAATTTTATAAAATTATAGTAATACATAGAACTTTTCCCTAAGTTTACATGCAGAAAAGAAGACTTACTGTTTTGTTGATTGATGTTACAGGGATCCACCATTGGGACATGAACAGGTGCAAAACAAGTAGAAGAAACTCTCCACGCATTTGCATGAAGTTGTGGTGTACCTTCTATCATTCCCGATGGAGAACTAGAAAGCAAAGATAATGCTTATCTTCATGTATCTCTCATTCATTTGTTCGTATCCTTCAAATACTTAAATAAGAGAATACTATTTTTCACAATGCCCAAGGAAATCTTAGAGCTTGAAATTTTCTTCTACCAGTTTAAAAAAAGTACAATGGCAGTAAGCTTCCCATTGTGACATTTTACAATGTAACAAATTGTAGATATACATGATTTTATTTAATCTTCATCTCAGCTTTATAAGAAAAACATCATTTATCCCCATTTTACAGAGAAAGCAAACCAGAAGCTCAGAGAAATGTTAAATTACACTAAGCTGATAAGTATCAAAGCCACGATTCAAACCCAGTTCTCCCTGACTGAACCATACACACACAACCAAAACTTTAGCATGTGTGTGGTTTAGGGTACATGTGGGAAACTTAGTGTGAGGTAGTTCACATGATTCTTTTCAAAGTAAAGACAAATATCTCAAAATATAACTAGCCTATATATCCCATTCAACATTTCAGTTCCATTATAAGATCTGAAAGATCAAGATGCCATCATGAAGCTGGCAAACCATATGAAAAAAATCTATCTTAAATACTTTAACAGTGTTTAGGAGACAAACACTGCAATTCCACCCCCCACAGCCATTCAGTTGTATTGATTCATCAACCAGCACTTATTAAGTGACAACCCCTATTGGACAATGTGCCAGACACTGTCAAAACTACTTAGCGATTCAGGCTGAACTAGGTCTCCTGCAGAAAGTTTTGACCACACCACAGCCCTGACTGTGTTAATTGTTCCCATATGGCCAAGTAGAAAAGTAGCCATCTCAGCTTTCTCTAGTGTCCTTATAGATTAACTATTTTCATTGGAGCTGCTTACCAGTAACTAAGAGAGGACAAATAAAGGAGCAACACAAGCCATTTCCTTGTCCCTACCCTTTTGTTCTTTTCTTCTTTTCCTATTCCTCAAAATCAAACTAGTCCAGGACTGTAAAGAACTACAACAAATACCCTAGTGCAAAATCTCCTTTTATTTATTTAAGAACACAGAGACTCAACGTAATTGCATGATTTGTGCTAGCTCATTTCTTCTCATTCTTTCCCCTTCCTTCTCTCTCCACTCCTCATAAGGACAACAAAATAGGTCAGGGTGATACGTGTAGTCAAGGTTTTCAGTTCAAGGTGGAACTGACTTAGAGCTTTGTTCTTTTATTTCATTTAGTTTACCTTAAAACAATAAATTTTAAAAATATGAGCTAAAATGTGGACCTATTTATTGTCTTTCATTTTATAAAATAACCCTTCAGCTTATCATAGTCAACTTACTATAATAACCCATACAAAATATATTTTCAAGTAATTAATATTTTCTATTCCATTATGTCTGCATATTCACATTAACCTTCATGAAGAAAGAATTACAACTACTTAAGTTGAAAAGCTAAACACTGTTCACAAGTTATCTCTGACTCTGAAAGATCATCCTGCACTCTTATCACGCCTAAAGGTTTATACATGGTGGAGACTGCTGCCTTAGAAAGAGGCAGCCAGATCTGCCATCTCTTAAACATTGACTGCTGACCCATTTTGACAAAGAAGAGAAAGCGGGATTAATGTCTTTTCTGAACATCACAGCCAAACCACTTAATATAGTTTATGTCTCTCAAATGTGGTAAAGACATCAATATTTTGACCCACAAATAAATAAAACAAAAAACTGAATTACCTAAAAACAAAGCACAGGAAGACAAGGAGACAAGATACAAGAAATTAAAAACTTTTTTAAATTTCAAATGCCAGTTCCTTTTGCCCATCCAAACTATCTTCCTGATGCCCCATTAAACATTCCACCTCAGTTCAATTAACTGTCAATTCTGTGTAAGGTTCTATGCTAGTTCCTAAGAATACAAAGGGAAAGGACATGACTTTTAGTCTCAAAGCCCTCACAGATAAACAAGACAAGAAACCAGACAGATAAACAATAAATTTTCATAGATAAGGCATTGTCAGATTTAACTTTGTGTGTGTGAGATATGAATCAGTTTTTTTGGGGCAAATAATGTATGAATTGGGGTGAACAAAAATGGGAAGTCACAAGAAAGATGAGGAGCAGGGTTCTGAGAGCCCAAGCAGGAAGAAGAGTATGTGCAAGAGTGTTTTTTAAAAAGCACATATGTTTATTGCAGCACTATTTACAATAGCAAAGACTTGGAACCAACCCAAATGGCCATCAATGATAGACTGGATAAAGAAAATGTAGCACATATACACCATGGAATACTATGCAGCCATAAAAAAGAATGAGTTCATACCTTTTGCAGGGACATGTATGAAGCTGAAAACCATCATCCTCAGCAAACTAATTCAGGAATGGAAAACTAAACACTGCATGTTCTTACTCGTAAATGGGAGTTGAACAATGAGAATACATGGACACAGGGAGGGGAACATCACACATCAGGGCCTATCAGGTGGTAGGGGGCTAGGGGAGTGAGAGCATTGGGAAAAATACCTAATACATGTGGGGTTTAAAACCTAGATGGCAGGTGGATAGGTGCAGCAAACCACCATGGCACATGTGTGCCTACGTAACAAACCTGCATGTTCAGCACATGTACCCCAGAACTTAACATAAAACTAAAAAATAACAAAAATAAATTTAATTTAATTTAATTTAAAAAAGAAACAAAACAGTATTTGAAGAATGGCTTCTCCACAAAATGTCCTCTGTCTGCTCAGCCCACAATGACCTGCTCTAACCCTCTATCATTCTTCTAGCCATAACAACAAAGCCCAACATTTAATTTTTAGAATCACCTCTCTCTCTCCTCTCTCTCTCTCTCTTTACATATATGTGTGTGTGGGTGTGTGTAGTTGATTGATCCTTGCCTAACACTAAATATTCATTTTTAAACTATCTTTAAAATTAAGGTATAGTTAACAAAAATTGAGTGCATTTACAGAGTATAATATGATGTTCTGAGGTATACATTGTGAAATGGTTAAATCAGCTAATGAACATGTCCATCACCTCACATTCTTATTTTTTGTTATGAGAGCATTTAATATCTACTCTCCTAGCAATTTTCAAGTACACATTAAATCAATTATAGTCATCATATAATTAATTGATCTCAAAAGATCTCTCAAACTTACACATTCTGTCTAGCTGATACTTTGTACCCTTTGAGCAACATCTTCCCACACTCCCACCCCACCCCTATGCCCTAGCAAACACCATTCTATAATACTTTGCTTCTGTGATTTCAACTATTTTAGATTCCACATATTTCTTAAAGGCTGTTATCCTCTCCTGATCTGTGACACAAAGCTCTGTGAAGATGAGAACCACAGCCTGCTGCTTAAATTGCTCCCAGTGTGCTTTTAGCATGGTATCAAGTGCACAAAGCATTTATACTAAATCATAAACTGCTTCTTTTCACACACAGGTGAAAAGTACCTGGTCAATGTGAGGGGTACAAATATATGTTATTGCTTTTCGTACAGTGAAACACCAACAATCACAAAATCTAACAAGATAACAAAATGTTGCTTTAGAGGTATTATTGATACCAAATGATATCAATATTTATAGAGTATCATTTACTACCACTAATACATAATGATATTGGGGTTTATTTTTTAGGCAGCAGTGTTTCAAAAATAAAATACTATTAAGGTTGATAGGTGGCAGAGAAGAGAATAGCAGAGAGCAGTGAGCATAGCTGAGCCACACTGCTGAAATCCAAAGCCCAGCTCCACTGCATGTGAGCTAAGTGACCTTGAATGATTTATTTGCCACTTTAAGGCCTTGTTTAGTTTCCTTTTCTATAAAATAAACATATTAATCGGAGACTGCTTTATATTTTAAATGTGATGATCCATGTAAATCTCTTGGAATAATGAAAACTAAGCTATTATTAGTTAAGTAAACACTTTAATTAATTTATATCATTTAAATAACCAGTCATTAAGTTATATTAACTATGCAGAAATCATACTTACAGAAAGTCATCCCTTATGTTCCCATTAAAAGTACCACACAGACCTAATGTTCTTCTTTTCCACACGCTAGTGAGCTGAATATAAATTCTTTCCCCATCTATAGCAAACAGAATCTTCAAACCAAATGTGGTTCTTAGAAGTATAAATAAGGATGACAGAGTTTGAATTTCAACAATACCTGCAGGAAAATAACATATGTAAATCAGCTTTGACATTCCTAGACGGTGTTCTGAAAGAGCACACCACCAGGACACTCCTCCCAAGACACAAGGGAAGCAGGGGAGGCAGACTAGCAGTTCCTGCCTATGCTTCAGGGCCAACTTTTGCCACCTATGGCTGCTTTTTTTTTTTCTCCTATTCCTCTGCTTTTCTCCCTCCTTCCTGGTCTTCAGCAAACATTTTTAATAGTTTTTCAGGTCAACACGTAATTTCAGTTTACAAGCATCTCACAAGTAAGGAGGCAATCCTTAGACACTTGAAATCCAATTCATTACCAAGTTCAGACTTTGTTCTAAATGTTTTTTCAATCTGTCTTCTTCTCTCGACCTCTATCATCACTGCCCTAGATCACCTCCTCCTCATTCCTCACATACCCTATTTTTATGGCATCCTAACTGTTGTACATGTTTCCTATCTAGCAGCTCTCAAAGTCACTTCTACACTATTGTCATAATGATCTACCAAAAAAAATCTCCTTAAAACTCACCATTTATTTGTTTGAACCATATGAGATTGCCCTCTTTGTACAAAAAATGATCAAATATGACAATTTCATATTTGTTTTGTATCAAATTCATCTTCCCTTGCTGGACACCTGAGTAGCGTGAGCATGCAGTTTGTAAGATAAATCAGGACATTTCTGAGAGTGAGAGTGTTATTAACAGTCATGCTGGAATGCAGGCATGAACAGGACCTGCCCCAGAAATCCACAATGTAAAATGCCTCCTACATAAGCCCTTCTCATCCTTACCCATGTCCAGACATTCCCCTTTACCCTCTCTCTGCTGTAGCAATACCAATCTAGTTCTAGTTCCCTCAAACTATGCTGCAAAATTCAACACCACCCTGATCTGCATGAAACATGTTCCTTATCCCCTTCAACCCGGTAATTCCTCACTCTTAAATGCTCTTTCAGACAATAATTGTACAATCACCTCTTTCAGAAAACATTCCTGACCATTTCAGTACACTCCTTTCCAGGGCTGAGTGAGCTGCACCTCATTTAGGCTCCCAAAGTCTCTATGTATATCTTCGAGTTTATCACATTTTATTGTAAGTGGCTATCTATTGCTTATCTCTCTTTCCTTCCAAAGTCTAGGTCACTTGAGGTAAACACTAGGTCCCATAAACATCATCATCTTCACTATCTGTAGTTGATGACTTGTGACACACAGGAACTCAATAAGCGTAGGTAGTCAGCCTAACATTAGAAGAAGATCTCATTTTGTTTTTGTGTGTTGTTGGGTTGTTGTTGTTGTTGTTGTTTTTTTTTTTTTTTTGGTAATCTAAAGAAAGTACACCATTAGCATTGTTTCTTACCATTCAGGTTGAAGCCTTGGTTAGGACTAGTGAGAATTTGTCCTCCCCTACCAAGGGTCACTTGTTTGTTAAAATCATCCTCCAGAATCAGAGTTATAGACTGAAGGCAGACTAAGCCGAGATTCTGCATAAAAATCAAATTGCCAATGAAAGGAATGGGAGAGAGATAGAGCCATAGAAAGACATAGGAAGAGAGAGAGGGAGATGGGAGAAAGGGAGAAAGAGAGAGGAGAGAAAGAAGAAAGTGCATGTAAATTAGAATTTCTGATATATAAAAGGCTTGAGTATAAGTAATGTAATAAAGTAGTTGTTACATAACCCATTTTATGTAGCCCCATTCCTAATAAAATATAATTTTATATAGTACATTAAATATATCATGTATATACATACATTTTACTTAGAACATTAAATTAAAGTGTTTCAGTAAAGTAACTATAATTATGTTTTCCACGGCATATAAAGTACCTCTCTAAATTCATTTAACTGGCATATTAGACATAAAAAGTCAATAAAGCAAAGAACCAAGAGAATTAGACTTACACATAGAAAGCTAATCAGATTCTAATATATTACAAAGAAAAAATAAAACTGGAAAAAAAAGCATATAAAGCAGTTCAGAATTTTCACTGGAAATAATTATTTTCTATTAGAATAAAACTAGAAAATTAACTATTTTGGTAAAATTTTGACTACCTGCTTAAGAGATATGAATGAAAGATTAGGATTTCTTTATTTAGAAATTATTTGTGAGTTTATACTTTCAAGAAAAGATCTAAATAAATAAATATTCCAATATGTTAAGAAATTCATTATATCTGTTTAAATTGCTATGAAACCAGTTCAAAACTGTCAAAAATAATCTCTTTAAAATAGCTAGGTTGAACTAAACAAAAAACTTAGTTCCATTATACCACCATGCATAAAATGTTCAAAAACCTATACATAACAAACACTACTTTTTAAAAAAGAAAATGCAATTAAATATACAGTATTTAGTCTAAGACATACTTGCTTTCACAATTTAATATCTCTGAAATTAAGATGCCTCATGTAACCAATGGTATGTCATAGAATAATTATCAACACTTCTTTCTAATATGTAGAATGATGTATCTTAATAATCAACGTTGTCTTAATTTTAAAGAAAATAGCTATATCCATTCATGTTACCATTCTTAGTCTGAAATGAAGTTTAAGTAAAAATCAATGAATCCATATTCCTCTGGTCATTTTGAAATGTTCTTACCTGCTCACAGGGAGCTTTCTGTAAAGTAATTGTGAATTTATCTTTTCCACTTCCTTTCACGAGGATGTATTGGCACATGCCAATAAAAGAATAATGTCGACCATCAAAAGTTGTAAAGTGAGAATCACCTACAACTGAACATTGAACTACCAAAAAAAAAAAAAAGAAGAAGAAGAAGGAGGAGGAAGAGGAGAGGAGGAGGAGAAGAGGAGGAGGAGGAAGAAGAGGAAGAGGAAGAAGGAAGAAAGAACAAGAAGAGAAAATGAAGTTAGAGGAGGAGAGGGAGGAGGATGACATGGTTAGGTTAATCCTTTAAAAGAGGAGATCAACTTAGGGTAAATAATCATGCATCAAAAATTTGAACATCTCTGTTGTGTTTAAAATTTACTGCTTTGACAAACTTTCTAAACTAAATTACATTACTTCATTTAATTTAATGATTATAAAATGATATTTATCCACATACTTTTTAAGATTTTATAATATTTATACCATTTTAATAAAGTTTTACCAAAGTTTCCCACTCAACACTATCACTTATTTAATTTTCCTTGTATCCTCTGAGTAACTGCATTTACAGATTATTATAGCCCTTGGTATACATGAGATGTCTTCATAAAAATCAGTGCTATCCTTCTCCCCAATCTAAAGAAATTTGAAATATTCTCTATAAAAACATTTTAAAAGATTACCTGGACAGTCATGCTCAGTGCAGTTCCAAACGCCACCAAAACACACACTAAAAGAAATTATAAAAATATTGATCCATTGGCATAAAAAATCTGCAGTAATGTTTGTATCCATGTATTGATGAATATACCAAAATATATCACGTTTGCAGGTTCAGAATAATCTGACTTAAAAAACATCTCTGCAAAAGTTCTAATGAACTGGTAATTTTGGGCTGGTCAGCACTTAAATTATTATCTCGTAAGTCATATGCGAAAATCACTGACTTTGATGAGGATCAATAGATATTAAAAAGAGAAAAGAGATGTCCTCTTATGTAAGATAAATTATGCCTTCCACCCTCACAAAGGTGTGAGATTTAGAGGACAAAAGTAGAGTCCCTGTAAAACGGAAACAGAATCAGCATCTGAGAACATGGTTAGTTATCCCATTACATTTCAGTTATATACACTGCCACCAAAGGGGAAAGTGTCTGATGTTATTTAGACTTCTGTTTTTCTTTTTTTTTTCTGGACTATCCTGCAGGGATTTCATGTTGGCCAACGGTGTTAGTTAGCAAATTTAATATGGCATACTAAATATTTCTAATCATGGACCAAAAATTGATCATCTGGGGAGTCATGTGTTACAGTATGTAATAGAGAAACCCAGAAGCACCACCAAGCTCTAAAAGTCTGTATAAATTAGTGATTACAAATGATTTTTTTTAAAAAGCAACAGACTCATCATATGGATGTAAGATATTATAGAATTACCAAGGTAACTGATAAGAATTATATCATAAAAGGAAATATAGATGTCCCTTTCCTAAAGAGTTTAAATAAAATGCAAGTTTTGTGTTGGAATTTGGGGAAGCAAATTAGTAATGAGTATATTCCTTTAAACATCTGTCACGGTAAAGTTGTCAACTAGCCAAGTAGCCAGAAGTAATTGGCTGTACATTGATGACATACCATTCAGTACATTCTTGTTCAATTTTTGAACCAACTGAATAAGCTAATCCATGAAAACTGCATGGGCAATTTTCCAAGGAGATGCAAGTCCCATTCTCCATTATAAGACCTGTTTGAGAAGAAATAAACATCAAAATTTCAAAAGAAATATTTATGAGGCTAACAATGAAAAAATGCTCATCATCACTGATTATCAGAGAAATGCAAATCAAAACCACATTGAGATACCACCTCACGCCAGTCAGAATGGTGACCATTAAAAAATCTGGAGACAACAGATGCTGGAGAGGATGTGGAGAAATAGGAACACTTTTACACTGTTAGTGGTACTGTAAATTAATTCAACCTTTGTGGAAGACAGTGTGGCGATTCCTCAAGGACCTTGAAATAGAAATTCCATTTGACCCAGCAATCCCATTACTGGGTATATACCCAAAGGATTACAAATTGTTCTGTTATAGACACCTGCACATGTATATTCATTGCAGCACTTTTCATAATAGCAAAGACCTGGAACCAACCGAAATGCCCATCGATGATAGACTGGACAAGAAAATATGACACATATACATCACAGAATACTATGCAGCCATAAAAAATGATGAGTTCATGTCCTTTGTATGGACATAGATGAATCTGGAAACCATCATTCTCAGCAAAGTGACACAAGAACAGAAAATCAAACACCACATGTTCTCACTGATAGGTGGGTGTTGAACAATGAGAACACATGGACACAGGGAGGGGAGCATCACACACTGGGGTCTGTTGGGACTAAGGGAGGGACAGCGGGGGTTGGGGAGGGTGGGGAGAAATAACATGGGGAGAAATGCCAGATATAGGTGATGGGGGGATGGAGGCAGCAAACCACATTGTCATGTATTTACCTATGCAACAAGCCTGCAAGATCTGCACATGTACCCCAGAAAACAATTGAAAAAAAAAGTGAAGATATACAAATTGTTAAATACCATTCAATATTAACAGAACAAAAAATTTCTCATGGCTAACTTCAGGACTGTAGATTCAAAACTTCCTGGGAACTTTACAAAGTAATGAACCTTTTAGCAATGAAAAGTAGCCATTCCTCCTTGTCACTTCAAGGACCAAATTCTACAAGAACAGAAAATTGCAATAGGACTAATGTGATCCTTAGGTCACTGGGTATTAGTTTCCATGAGTGCAGACATGGTTTCTTCATGAAGCACTTACCATCTGGGCAGTAACATCCATCAAGACAATGAAGATTGCTCCCAAGACATTGCTTCTCAAATGTGCAGGTTGGTGGACAACAACTGATACAATCCCGATGGACAAAGCTATCATCACATTTATCAGCTAAAATGGGAAACAGGGGAGCGTAAGTCAATTTTATTAGCCTCTATTTCTTTTAAAAAATTATAATTTTATTTTTTACAAAAAAAATTTGCAAAAAATAACTTTTAACTGCTAAAAAAAAGTGCATACTTGTTTCAAAAGTATGCAAGTTCACATATATAATTATATCAATAACAAATATTTGCAATGCATTAGTATTAAGTAGTACAGTAAGTTTTGAGTTCTAAGGTTAACCCAAAACTGGCAAAAGTACACAGGGTTTGAAAAATAGCAACACATACTGCAAGCTGGAAAGTCATCTCTCCAGTCTTGAATAGGGTAGCCAGCATGAGAACAGGCTCTAGCATATTCAGTGGCTGCTCGACAATAGGTTTCATCATCATCAGTTCTAGAAAGTGAAAAGACAGAGCCAGAATCACATAGGAAATACTGACAGAAACCATACCATTGAGGTCCTGATCCCTAGAAATGCTGAGTGCATGACTATTCCAATGTGAATCAATGTCAGCATATGTATCTCTCATAATATATCTTATTAAGTACAACAATGAGAAAACACATGAACATGGGTCCTCAGCTAATTAGGCCTAGATAAATAATCTTCATCAAAGCATTTTAATAATTTCATCACTATTCTTTTGAGTCAAAGGAATACTATAATAAAAAAAGATTTATATTTTAATTATAACAGTTTCCCCATAATTTGTGTATGTATTTTTTCACTCCCACACTAAACATTCCAGACCTTTTAGAATTTAATAAGTCCCATTAAAACAGATAAAATTCTATCACAACAAAAACAATAAATATGAAAGCTGTTTCCAAAAGATCATACTCCGGATTGTCCACATAGTAGAATAAAAACAATACCAATAATCTATAGTACTCAAAAGTATTTCAATGGTTCCTCAGCTATCTTTGCAAAAACATTCCAAAACATAGTATTCCATGGTGTATATGTGCCACATTTTCTTTATCCATTCTATCATTGATAGGCATTTGGTGGGTTGCTTGAAAGAGTGAATTAATAGCATTTAAGATTTAAAAGTGGATTTTGAATTATTTCAAGCTGTGATTACTAAAGCTAATTATTTTTATAACATTGCCAAGACTAAATAATCTTTAATTGTTTTCTTATAATGTCTTCAGGAGCTTCCCCCCAAAATAATTTCTTCTTAGAACTCTGCCAATTCTCAAAGCAGATTTAAAAAAAAAAAAATCAAGTAAGCAGACCAAGGTAAAGGGCTTGTTTTTCAACCCAATTCAAACTCAAAATTGAATAGTTAAATATCTTGGAAGATAATGATCTTAAGAATGCTGCATTTTGTGAGACTCAACATTTTCAGTGTCACATTGTAAAAGACACCATCTCAAATTGCCCTTATCCTGTGTTACTGTAATGGGAGTCATGCAGCTTATCTAGTCCAATTAACTGAGCTTTAGAAGGAAAAAAGGACTGAGCATATAAACTCCAGAGGTTCAGAAAATATTCTAAACCTACAAACAAGAAGTCTTTTCAAGAAACAGTATAGGCTAAAATTGCTGAATTCCTGGAAAGACATTACGTTTATGATTTACCTTCCAATATGTGCATTCTTTCCTACATTAATGGTGGTTTTAAAAATTAGCGAAGCAACTGAATATAGGTTTTCCAACCTAATGCAACTATTATTACAATACTTACCATTTATTGTTTATGTTATTCTAGGAACCATGATAGGCACATTAATATGTGGCACCTCACAAAAACCCATAAGAATTAGGCAAGAAAGAAATTATTATCAAGAAAGAAATTACAATTTGCTAGGGGGGGAAAAAGTTTATTTTTTCCATCTTGAATGATAACTTTAATAGGAAAATGGGCATTAAAAAATCATAGTTTTCACGTCAATTTGCTTTGGCATGACAAATTAAAACCATTTCCTTGCTGCTGGGTTTGGCATTCTTAGAAGCAGAAACAGGAGGGCATAATTCAAGGACTGATAAAGTATCATGCACCTTCTAAGTCAAATGTCATCTCTTCCAGGTAGCCTTTGCAGGCACTCTCTGATAAAGTCAATAGTTCTGTCCTTCTCATCCAAAGCACTTTGCAGTTAGGGCATTGTGTCATTGTTACAGACCTGTTTCCCCACCCTATTAGAATATGAGTTCCTAGGACAGAGATCAAGTCTCCATTTTTTCTGTTTCTCCAAGAGGTGGCAAAATACTCAGCTCAGAATAGATACTCAAAAGATATGTGCTGAATTGAATTCAATATACTATCATAATCCAAGCAGGAAATTAATCTGTGTTCAACCAATTCGCATTTTCATTCTCATGGTATGCGACCTTCCTGATGCAGTCCTCTAATACAGGAAATGAAGAGAATCATTCATTTCCTACAGAACGGAAGAAAGAATGTAAGTAGGTCTAGTCCTGAATGAAATATTGAGGGGAGTGAAGAAAGGCTGGCTCTGGCAGCTTCTCACTTCCATTTTCTCAATGTCCACTTAATTATAATGTCCTTCTTTTGATATTACATGTCTGCTTTGCCCGTAAACCCAGCCTCTCTACAAGAAAGGTAGCTCTTAAGGTGTCAGCTGATTTCATCCAGTACAAGTTGTTTCTCTATCCTGCTATTTTTGTTTTCCCTGGAGAAAGCATCAAAGTTTCAAAAGTCAAAGTCTAAAAACTATCCAAATTTCAAAAGACAAAAATGCTAATTTCTCAATGATGAAATTTCAGTTGAAGTGGGTGTGGCAGAGACTGAGTTAGTTTCTAGTTGCCCCTTCTTCTTTTTAGTATTAGAACACCCAAGTTTTTGCCAGGTAGATGGCTGCCAGCCAAAGACAACATTTACAGCTTCTCTTGCACCTAAGTGTGGCCATGTATCAAGTTCTGACCAAAAGGTTAAAAGTGGAAGCATGTATGAAACTTCCACATCAAAAATCCCAGCCCTTTTGTTTTTCTCCTCTTTTAAGGACTAAAATGTGGGCATGGTATTGGTGATGCAGTTTGGACCATGAAATTGAAAATAATACCCTAGACAAAAGGAAAAATGTAGTAACAAGATCACTCAGTCACTGGAATATTCATGGAGCAGAGCCATGATGCCAACCCAAGACCACTAACCAGCATGGATTTTCATGTGAGAAATATAAACATTCCATTTAATTTAAGTCACAGTCATTTTAGCTATTAAGGCAGCTAAACAATATCCCAAACTAAAAAATGAAGAATGACTTTCCTGGACCTAAAAACAATATTTTATCCCAGACTACTTGACAAATGGGCACTAAAGATATTAAAGATAAGACGATTGAAAAGATGACTGGAGGGCAATCCAAGACTGAGTCACTGTGGAATAAGAGCAATTTTTAATTCCATATATATGGCTAAAAGAGGACTATGGCCTACCTACAGGGATCCTTAAAAAAGTGTGAGAAACAACAAAGAGATATAGCAAGTAGCTCTTAAATTAAAAATGAAACCAAATAGGGAACAGAATTTTTAAAAATATGTAGTTAGGTCACTAGCCAATATTTTAGGCAGAGGGGGAGCTCTTTCAAAGCACCTGCATTAGTTCAGAAATCCTTGAAATTTAGAGACTATACATATAAATCTAGGGTATAACTGTACTTTGTTCAAAAGTAAGAGATGTCACAAGCTTATTTTAATATCTGGGAAATAGTATATTCATTACTTCTGTAATAATTTCAATTTAACTAAAGAGGAGTAGTTATAAATAACACAATTTCCTACTACCTCGACCTTTCCTCTTTGTTCTCACCTTTGATAAACCTTTTAATGAGCTACTCAAGATGACATTTAAGTGGTTTTACTAAACTAAAAACTAGTCTTTTTTTTTTATTTTAAAAGTTTCTATGCATCGCTTATACTTCTTGGAACTCATAAAATATACAGACATATTACAATTTCTTTAGATAGTCCTAAACATTCAAGATGAGTAATCACCTATACTTGGTAATGTTTTGAAAGAAAAATAATCTTAAAAAATTTTAATAATGGGTAATTTATGGTAGGTTCTATAATTAACTACCATATATGAACATAGTATGGTGAGTCTCACTGAATTTGTTGCTTATTCAACTACCTATCCTAGATGTTCATAACCTGAGATAGAATGCAGGGATCTGTGACCTTAGGTAGAAAAAAATATTACTTGTTGATTTTCACTAATTTCCATCAGAAACTTAGCATTTCCTTCAATTATGCCTATAGGAAATACATCACAATGTTCTTAGCGATATCTGTAACTTTGTCACCAATGTGTCTCAAATCTTCTTTTTTCATATTTTTATATTTTTCTTTTCCATTTTTCTTTTTCACAAAGCACTGTTTACACTAATCACTAAGTCAAATTTCAGTAGTTTTTAGATTTGAAATGTGTATTAAAAGCATATATATCAGAAATACTTTTTTTATTATTTTGATAACTATTTTATTAGAATTAGTTTCCTTTGGTATTTTATGTGTTTTATTTTGTGCACTTCAAACATTGTTTTTCAAAAGGGTCTATAGATTTTTCTAGACTCCCAAAAGGGATTCATAGCATAAAAAGGCTTAAGAGCCACTGTATTTTGTTCATGCTGGTTACATAAAACATTTAGAACTACCATCCATATATAATCTAGCAGTTCCACTAAAGAGTATATATCCCCCAAAAAATGAAATCAACATATGGAAGAGATATCTCCACTCCTGTGTTTATTGTAGTATTCACAATAGTCAAAATATGTAATCAATCTGTGTCCATCAGAGGATGAATGGATAAAGAAATTGTGGTATATATACACAATGGAATATTATTCAGCCATAAAAAGAATGAAATCCTGTAATTTGCAACAACATGGATGAAACGAGAGGTCATTATGTTAAGTGAAATAAGCCAAACAGAAAGACAAATATCACACATTCTCGCTCATATGTGGGAACTAAAATAGTGAATCTCATGAAGATAGAGTGTAGATTGATGGTTACCAGAGTCCAGGAAGGGTAGGAGAGAGGTGGGGAATAAAGAGAGATTAATTATGGGTACAATGTACATGAAGAAGAAATAAGAACTGGTGTTGGATAGGTAAGAAGGGGGGCTATAGTTAACATTAATCAATTGTATATTTCAAAATAGTAAGAAGATAATAATTTGAATGTTTCTAGTATAAAGAAAAGATAACTAAGGTGACGGATATCCAATTCACTTTATTTGATTACATGAATGTATGAAATTATCACATGTACCCTGAAAATATGTACATCTACTATGTATCAATTTAAAAACTTTAGACTGTGCCTGTTATATAGCAAACTTTTAATAGCTCTTTGTAGTTTACATTTTACATTTCCCATAATATTTTGTGAACAGCTGAAATGGTTAAATAACAGAAGTAGTTGTGGGTCTCCTTTTTACATAAAGAAAATTTTATTATAACTACAAATCATTTCACTTACTTGCAAAGATCATTAACACAGCTGGCAATATACAAATATGGATCAATATACTCATGGCAGCTCAGAAAAGGAAACTGCAACAGTATCTGACACTTGAAGAAGATTGCCTGTGCAAAAAAAGATGCCAGTCACTAGTTTCATGGTATGTATATAGTCTTATATTATTTTTACAGATCTATTTGCAGGATTTTCAGTTCTCACAAGGAAAAATATGGTAATTTATAAATTTTAACCAACATTTTTCTAACTACAGATTTTCATGAGTACTGCATTTATGAAATTCCCTACATTTACTATTTCGGAAATTAAAGTGATTCCCTATTGCAATTATGTTTCCAGGATATAATATTTTTAAATTAAGTTGTGTTTGCACTTAAGAATGCTTAGGTAAATATATAAATAAGGCATATGTGTATTCTGTCCAACATGCTCACATTTCTCACATCAAATTTACCTCAAATGCTGGCATTCCACTGGAGCATGGATTTGGAAAATCTGAGGGTGTGAGTACACATTTGGTGTCATCTGGAGTTTGCACCGACCAACTATTTGCAAACATAGCGATGTCTTCTGTGTAGTCCTCTGTTTCACACAAGCACACACACACACAAATAGGTGTAATCATATCATTTTCCACAAACATAGACATGGTTCTTTAACACAAACTTCCTGGTCAAAACTTTAAACTCAATAACCTTATAATTAATATGTGATATTGGATAATAACATTATTTTAGCATAACAAAAACAAATTGAACAAATTGTGACTACCAAATAAAAGTTAGTTCCACTGGAGAGAAAAAGCAAACTACATTTAAACAACATAGGGAATGATGAAGGACAGTGAGTACAACGTACACATCACTGAATAATTAATCACCAATGTTCAATCTGTGCTATTGAGAGGAGAAAAAATGTGCACAAAATGAAAAAAAAAAAACACAAATAAAAGTTTAGTGTAAAAATTATCAGACAACTCTCTCATTATATTTAATATTAGTAAGAACCTTATTAAAATTGCAGTTCCATTTGGTGGGGACAGTCCACACAAAAAAATCTTGTCAAATTCTTGGGGACACTTCAGAGGACAGTCACATAGACAATGAAAGATTAGAAAATACATCTATAGGAGAGAAGACTAAGAAGTGAATCTATTTCATCTAAATATGATGAACAGTGTTTCGAAACATGCTCAGGAAAGACATCCCGATTGAGAACCCTGAAGCTAATTCAGCATTAATCTCAGGCAAGATTCAGGGGTTAATGTGTTGGCAGCAACAAAGTCCAGTGCTCTAGATTCTTCATTCCAAAGCAAGGTTTTTTATTTATTTATTTATTTTGAGATGGAGTCTCACTCTTTCACCCAGGCTGGAGTGCAATAGCACCATCTTGGCTCACTGCAATCTCCACCTCCTGGATTCAAGCAATTCTCTTGCCTCGGCCTCCCGAATAGCTGGGATTACAGGCACCTGCCACCGCACCTGGCTAATTTTTGTATTTTTTGTAGAGATGGGGTTTCACCATTTTGGTCAGGCTGGTCTTGAACTCCCGACCCTGTGATCCACTTGCCTCAACCTTCCAAAGTGCTGGGATTACAGGTGTAACCGTGCCAGGCCCCAAATCAAGTTTTTAAGTTATCTTTCTACCTGATCTGAGAACAAGTTCAGGGAATGATACAGAAATTAATCCTTTCCCTCCTCCATTCAGACAAAGGCTGAATGTCAAAGCTCGAAGACTGGGCGGGACCAAACAAGATGACGTCTCAAAGTTCCATGTAAGACAGTTAGACTTCAGATTTGAGGTTGGAGTTCTCCACCACCCAGATTTGCATGGTCAGAAGTCTACCACTGATGACAATCCATTGCACCACTAGAGTCAGAAATCTTGAGCCAAATGTTTACCAATTTCTCTGAGTAACTTCAAAGTAGAAAAATAATGTGTGTATGCCATTACCAAACACTGGGAAGATGAGGGACTTTATTATCTGTAAGAATGCTTTGCTCTCTTGGTGTAAAATACTAAAGTTTATCATAGCCTAGAAGACTTTCATGAGCTGGGCCCTGCTCTCCTCTTACTCCCACCCCGTCCTGCCCCTCCTATATCTTCTGCATCTATTCTTGCTCAACCTACTCCAGTCATATTGACTTTGAGCTGTTCTTCAAACACTCAAACTCACTCCCACCCCAGAACACTTGGTCTTGTTCTTCCTCCTTCAACACCACTCCTTCCTGAAATCTCTCTGTTGCCTCCCTTACTTCATGTAGGCCTCTGTTTAATATACTCCTCAGAGAGCCCTTCTCTGCCATGTGATCTAGACTAGCATCAATCACAGACTTACTCCATCACTCTTTACCTTCTTTCTCCACCTTTATTCTTTCATGGCTGCTATTGCTCACAAAAATTATATTTCAGTGTGTTTATCTTGTTTTCCATTACAGTATGTACTACATGAAGGCCAAAAGCTATTCTATTGCTGTATTCCTAGTTTAGCATCTGGCATATAGCAGGTATTCAAAATATATTTGCTGAATAAGTGAGTGAATAAATATAGGGGAATTTGTGAACTTTATTAAAAAGATTATTAGAATCCAGCTTTCAGCCTGGATGTGGTGACTCACACCTATAATGTGGTGTGGGTGGCTTACATGAGGCCAGGAGTGTGAGACCAGCCTGGCCAACATGGAAAGACCCAATCTCTACTAAGAATACAAACATTAGCCGGGCATGATGGTTCATGCCTGTAATCCCAGCTACTCGGGAGGCTGTGGCACGAGACTCACTTGAAGCTGGCAGGAAGAGGTTGTAGTGAGCCAAGGTCATGCCACTGCACTCCAGCCTGGGCGACAGAGTAAGACCCTGTCTCAAAAACAAAACAAACAACAACAACAAAGAATCCTTTGTCTCTGATATCGTTGAAATGTTGCACACCCAAGAAAGTATCAGACTGCTGTAATATACTTTTTAAAAATGGAAAAACTGATGAGTCTTTTAAGTACATATATAGTTACATTTCCTTTCAAAACACCATTTTTTAAAGGTCTGAAGAAACAAAAATATTTCCGTAAAACCCACTTATTTCAATACTATGCAAGAATTTTAATGTTACTAAACAACATGGCCAATTCCTTAGAGTTCACTTTAATTGCAGCTTTGAACCACATATTTATCTATTTTATATAGCATCAACAAGAGTCATAAAAGTTGTTTATCATGAGATTTTAAATCCATATCTAATGGTGGAATGGGAACACACTAAACTAAAATTAAAATGTTTTGTATAAAATATGCTCTAAGTAGAGTAATTTATTGTCCATATTGGACATTTTTGAGAATGAAAAGAAGGCATTATTAATTATTATGCTGGGAAAAGTGAAAGTAAACCAGGACTTATATGTTGGTGTATAGCTAGCTGTAGTCATGAATTATGGAAACAGAATTCTCAACTAGGCAACAAATTAAAATCCTCCTATGTGTACAGAAATTCTGACAAGTCTCATTTCTTTGTGAAATCATCCCTGAAGGATGAGTTGGAATGCAGAGAGAAATGCAATTTTAATCACCATTAAGAACCTATGCATTCAGCGGCATTCAATCAAACTCACTCTCTCTTAAGATTTTTCTAATCAGCAAAATACAGGTTGAGTTTCAAGAAAATATCAGGCTTCTTAAAGCTAAAGGTAATACTGCTCATCTGTAGACATTTTCTTGCATTATTATACCATGGGAGGAAATAGGCAGCTTCTTATCAAAGTTGTTGTAAGTTAGGTTTTTAAAAAAATTACTCTGCCTTATACTGTTAAGCAAATAACATTGTGAAGAAGGTGAAATATCTCCTTATGTCTTTCCCATGTACTTTCTGGAATCCTTCTTGCCTTCTGCCAGTTCAGTCATAATTGAGCTCCATTGCCTTCTGCCAGTCTTCATCCACTTCTAATCCACTAACGCCCTTGTGCATGCTGCCCCAGTTGGCTCACTGTGAACAACCATTTCATGTTCCAAGTTATCTTGAACATGTAAGTCTGTCTGTGCCTTAACTCAAATCTAAGTCTTCCTACCTCTAACAAGAGCAGATGCTACTTTCTACCCTGACCTCCACACCATGTTCCCTGGACGTCCCAGGGGAAGTTGCCCAAAGCAGCCTTTTTTATTCTTTTTTTCTTTTTTTGAGACAGAGTCTTGCTCTGTTATGCAGAGGCATGATCTTGGCTCACTGCAGCCTCCGGCTCACTGCAGCCTCCACCTCCCAGGTTCGAGCAATTCTTCTGCCTCAGCCTTCCCAGTAGCTGGAATTAACAGGTATCCGCCATCACGCCCAGCTAATTATTGTATTTTCAGTAGAGATGGGGTATCACCATGTTGGCCAGGCTGGTCTTGAATTCCTGACCTCAGGTGATCCACTTGCCTCATCTTTCCAAAGTGCTGGGATTACAGGAGTGAGCCACCATGTCCAGCCTACCCCAAAGCAGTCTTTTCTAACTCTAACACGAAGAGCTGGACTAAGGATTTTTTTTTCATGAAGCTTTGATACAGAACAAAAATAAATCAGCAATTACCATCTGGTTCATTCTTCCTGCATCCAAAACTCTACTTCCTAATACAATCTCAAGAGTCCAACTTTGTGACCCCTCTCATTGCAAATGCCAACTGGATGCAAAACACCATTTCAGGGTGGTCCCAGTACTATACATTTGTATTGTGCTCAGAGACTTTTAAACACTTTTATTTACATTTTCTCATTCAATATTCACTGGCTGGGACGCTCCCAGAGTCATTGTCATTATCCCTATTTTACATATGAGGAAATTGACTTTTTGGAGCCCTGCTCTGTACTCTAGCTGCTAGTAAACTAATCCTGATGATGCATCATCTATCTTGAGCAAAACATTTGCATTTTAATAAGGCTTCTCAAAGGAATGTAAAGATATTTTCAAATGCTTTTATTTCAGCCCCATTATAGGCTTGTGGTGAAATACTTGGAGATGGCTATAAATTAAATTAAATGTATTGAGTATTATCTACGTGCTTAGGTACTGTACTGTTTTACACTGATTGTCTCATTTAATCCTTGCAACTCTTATGAAGCATATACTCTTATAATATCATTAAACTTACAAACTTTAATAAGGATAAAGGAGAATTTGAATCACACAGTCTGACTCCAGAGCCCACAGTCTAAGCAGTCCCTTCACCATCGTTTAAAAGACAACATAGGGGCAACTCATCTCTGTTAATTTTATAATATAAAACAAAAGTATTATATAGCATTTACAGCTTCAATGGCAAGTGCTCAAGCACTTATCTAAGCACAGGATTGGGAGCCTCTCAGATCTGTAATCCAACCCTGACAGTATCAGTTACAAGCTATGTTACACTGGACGCATCACCTTGTGTTCTTATCATAAAATTAAGAAAATAATACTGGCTGGGTGCAATGGTGCACCTGTAGTCCCCGCTACCTGAGAGGCTGAGACCAGAGGATTACCTGAGCCTGGAGCTCAAGATCAGCATGGGCAACATAGCAAGACCCCATCTTAATGAAAAGAAATAGCAAGACCTCACCTTGAAAAGAAGAAAAGAAAAGAAAGGAGAGGAAAACAAAAAGACTACTCACATTACAGGATATTGTGAGGGTTGGAAATAATATAGCTATGTGCTTAAACTAACTATTGTTATAAATATTAGCAAGGTATATTATTATTATTACTGGCTACTCTGTGAGTTCCAAATTATTATAGCCCTATTTTCCAGCTGAAGAAACAGAGCATAAGAATGGTTAAATTAGTGTTCTCAATTACAGAACTTATAAAAGTTGAAATGAGATTCAAAGCCAAGTTCACTGGTACTAAGAACAGTATTCTTTTTTTATTGTACTTCTATGTGTGGACCTAAATCAGGATTATGGTTGATTCTCTTATTCTATTGCCATTGCACACTAGTATCTGAATTGATATAGAACCCATTTCTAATAACTCAGTTTTAGTTTCATAACTTAGATTTAATAGATGATCTTGTAGGTATATAAAACCTTTCCAAGTTACTATTCAACTTTCCCACTCACATTTTATTATTTTTGCAAAACTATTATTTGTCAATTATTCAATTTATTCCTATCAAGAAGGGATACAAAAATAGTTTTTGTCTTGACAAAGACATATTTAAGCCAAATGGATTTGAATCACTAGAATATAAACTTCAGGAAGTGAAACGTTTTGTTCACTGATGTATTCCAGTTAATACATCAGTGAATACAGAGGTATCCCTCCCAAAGCAGTGGATACAGAGGTATCCCAAGCTTCTAACACAAAACAAATGCTCTGTTAAAATGTGTTATAAGTGCTTCATGCTAATTTAGCAAAGGAAACTAGTTCATGGTTTTCAAGAACTACACTAAAATATTTTTCTATTCGACCTTTACTTAAAATCACTAAAGCAGGCAATGACAGCCACAAAATTTCCCCCCTATCTATGACAAGTCTTCTGGGTACAAAACAGCTTGGTCAGGGGAAAAAAGAAGGCTTTAGAAGATATACACACATTTCTTCTGCTTCACTTACCTTGCAGAATTATGAAATCATCAGACTGAATGTCATTGTAGTTTCCACATAGGCCACATGATTTCCCCTTATGGTCCTCAGACAGCTTGAGGTAGATCCCAGATATCCCATCCCAAGCCAATGAAAAGCCAAAGGTTGTTTTCACGAGAATGTAGTCAGCTAGCTTCTCGATGAAAATCTGTCCAATTGTCTGAGGCAATGTTAAACTTGAAAAATAGAACAAAAGCTATCTAAGAATGATGATAAGAGCTCAATTACAGATAATATGTTTTTTAAGTGACTGAGATATAATTAAAAGAAAATGATTACTCAAAATTATTGAATAAACTGTGCAGCAAGATCTCCAAAGCAACCATCCTCTGGAAAATCTCAACATTTTTGAAAACTTCAGTATTGAAATAAAAATACAACAAAAATGATACTGTTTTCTTATACAGATTTAGATTTTGTACTTATAATTAGATGCTTCTTTGAACGAACCAAAATCACACAGCTGCTAAATACTGGTGATTTGTTAAACCTGGAAAATAACCTTGCCTATTTAGAATAGTTAGAGCTTAAATGTGTTTATTATTATCTAAAGAGTTAAAATGATCTAAAAATGCTGCTCAACAATTTTGAAGTAAGGATAAACAATAGTCAATATATATAAACATGATGCTTGAGTTCTGATTTTGCTTAATTTTACTTTAAACATGGCTATAAGGAAATAGGAGTTTCTATCTTTAAAATGACACTTTGACATAAGTCATTATTTTCTAAAAAATATCAAAGGATGATGAATTATAACTTAAATTTTTAATGCTGCAAAGTACAATATTAGGACTATAATACACTTTGTCATACTGTGTTATATAGGGGTAATACTCAAAATTTTTTAATTGGATACAATTTAGCCTATTTAAACAAGTGTCACATAAAATATTTAAGCTCCTGATACAATGTCTAATTTTTCCATTTTTCAGAAGCATATGTACATATAAAGGAAGTGGGTGGCATAAGGTAACTGAAGAGAACTAAACAATTGAATATTTTGAAAGCACCTAGAATATTTTTGAAAGAACACAGTTATCCTTCCGTCCATCAGTATTGCCAAAAAGAATAAGTGCTGATAATTAAATAAATTGGAAAAACCTCATTTATATTAAGATAGCTATGTCAAATAAAAATTATTTGTAATTATATATAATGTGAATAATATGGGTAGCTAATAGGTATATTCATATATTTCTCTCAAAATTTTCAAATTAGTGAGTTTCTTTCCAGGAAGAGCATGGCTTGATGAACCAAAAACTACAAAACTGAACAGACTAGCTAACAAAGGGAGAATCCCCAAAGAAACAATTAAAAAGATGTGTAGTCATTTACACAAAAAAAATTTTTTACAGATACTTATTCATAGAAAAATATTTACAAAAATAGAATACTAACTAAAAGTTTAAAATGGAGAATAGATTTAAAAAAAAAGACTCTAGCTAACTACTGCCATAATACAGTCTTAATAAAAATTATAAATATGAGGAATTCATAGTAAAAGTCAACATGAAATAACATTAAAGAAATGTCACTTGCTTTAAATTTGTAATTTTATGAAAGAAGTAAATCACATTTACAACTACATTTCAGAGTAATAGACAGCTAAACTTATGGAAGAATAATTGTACTATTATGTTTACTTTTTTGTTTGGTCATTTGTCACTTGGTCATTTGGTCTCCTTAATAGTAAATTTAAATAATCAGTTTTTGAAAGTAAAGGTGGATAACTGTGATTATCCTGAAGTTTATAACATAGAAGGATGCTAGCAGAATTGGGAGATAATAGTTTAAACTAGACAATATCCAATAGGTCAAATAAAAACATGAAACCTAGGTAGGACACATTAAAATGTAAACCTAAATGAATGCAGAACTGAATGCTGAAAAGTATTCAGGGATTCATTTGTATTGAAACCCCTTATTTTCACAGGTGAAAGAAATGAAATCCAGAGAAGTTTTACACACAGAGCCACCCATGTTTGATTTTTTTTTGGCAAATATTTCTGTAGCATTTGCTATGAGTTAGGCCCCAAGTCAGGAACAGCATTTGTGAAAGCAATATTGCTGAATAATAAGAAAACCATCCTTTTTCTATCACATAATCTGAAATCCTCATAGAAATGCTTTTGTGAGTTAAAATTAAATATTATGTTTCTGCTTTAATAAAGAAATAATATTCTTGAAAAATCAATCTGAATGGTAAGTATTATGTTTTACAAAACATAATAATTGTTTAAATGCCCATTTTATTACCCAAAATTCCATATAGAGAAGCCTAAATGACTCTTTAAATTCAACTCTAGGAAATACACATGGAAATGCATTATCTTCTTACTCAATTGCCTAAACTTTCTTTTATGAGAAAATGAGAAGTACAGAACCCAACTGACCAAGAAAATAAGCCTCAGACAGCGGGAAGAGCTGTTCTAGGTTGTCTGGCTGTTTCAAGGCTCCTCTGGTGCTCTGTCCACTGCCCCTTCTGCTACCACCTGCTACCACTGCTGCCTTTTGAGGAATCTAAACCCAGAAAAAGCAACATGGGTTGATAAAGCCATTGCACTGGAAAGTATTCCTATAGTTCAAACACTTGCTAGTGAATTCTGAATGATGAATAGAATTGTTCCAGCCCACAATTTCCTTGATCTGGCATAATTCAGCCTGGAAATATTTAAAATTGAGTCTCTCTGTAATTATTTAGATTGGAAGGCAGATTATTCCACAGTATCTCTAGTTTAAAATGTGAAAAAAAAAAAACCACACCCCTTTTGCCAAATACATAAACATCCCCTGCCCCAAAATTGTCATGTCATATTCTTGGCAGATAGGAAACTGGAAGTGGGCTCCTCTCTGATCTATCTGAGGTCAGTCATTTGTTAACTCTCAGTCAGAACTTCCGTGGAAAATCTCAAGTAACACCCAAACTCCATTCAAACAAACTGGAAAGAACTTCCAGAATCCTTTCCAAAATAAAAAAATATATATTTTTAGGTTTCTGCATTAAAGAAAGAAGAAAATATTTAAGAAAGAGGGGAAAAAAATCAAGAATTAAACTCAAGATATCTCTTGAATCTCTCATTTAAAAAAAAAGAGAGAGAGAGACTCTCATCTCCACCCATGTAAACATATTATATTTATATTCTGCACACAAGCAATCAGGAATGGTAAACCGATTATACTCCTGACTGCCTGGATGGCCTCAGAGCCCACTAAAGTTTTGATGTCTGTAAGTTATATCTTTAAGAGTATTGTTAAGGAAGAAATCCTCTCTTCATACCCTCCACAGTTCACTTCCAGCATGCGATGTTTGGATTTTCTATTAATTTGGGGTGTTATTGACATTTTACTGTTTCCCATATCCTACCTGATTCCATTCTTTTTTATTTCATGACCATAAATTCGAATTTCCTCTTGGTTTGAAAAGAACAAGCTGATTGACCGATAACAAGAATACACCGAACCAAGGCATTTAGGGCTGTTATGAACCTTAAGGGGAGAAAAACAAAAAGAAAGCATAGGAACAAACAACAAATTCGAGTTACTAAAACCACAATGTATGTTTACAATTATACTGCTTCATTAGTCCCATGGCACTTTACAATGTTATAACTACATTTGGGATTTCTGAGAGAAAAGAAATATTTACCTCAAATATTGGACAACGAAATTAGCTTCCTAAAATACAAGTTAATTAGCATACTTTTGGAACGATTTGAATCTTCATATGTTGGATGTTAATATTCTCAAGCTACATGGTATGCACTGGGAGAAATTAGTTCTGATAGTAAAACTGTAGAGCACCACAAAGAAGCGCATTTATCATTTTTACGTCTGTATTTTTACCTGTTAGAGAATCATAAAACAGAGCTTTGAATGGAACTCTACACAAAGCAATATTTAAAGGTTGAAAAGTGACCATGAACTCACTAAAAATAAAATTGATATTATTTTTATTTATTCCTAGACACTTTGGGGAAGGCAGAGATTATTTTACAAAAAAAAAAAATGGGAAAATTCGTTTAAGAAAAAGAATGCAAGGAAGAAAAGAAGAAAGGAAGAAAAGAGAAAAGGAAGCTTAGATTCTTTTACCTGATACCAAAATTAACAAAGATTACAATTAGAGGTGGAAAAGAACTTCCTAAGCCTCAAAGTGATTTTAAAAATTATCAATAGTGTAGGCTTTTTAAAAATTTGTTTGTTTTTAGGGTGCTTTGTTTTGTTTTGTTTTTGAGATAGAGTCTCTCTCTGTTGTCCAGGCTGGAGTGCAGTGGTGTGATCTTGGTTCACTGCAACCTCTGCCTCTCATATTCAAGTGATTCTCATGCCTCAGCCTCCCAAGTAGCTGGGGCTATAGGTGTGTACCACCAAACTGGTTAATTTTGTATTTTTTCAGTAGAGACAGGGTTTCACTATGTTGGCCAGGCTCGTCTCCAACTCCCGACTTCCAGTGATCCACCTACCTCGGCCTCTCAAGTTGCTGGGATTACAGGTATGAGTCACCATGCATGGCCTCAATAATATAATTTTAATATTGTAGTGATTTAATGTATATTAATTTTATGCTTGATCAGCAAATTTTATTGATCATTTATTATGTACCAGGCACTGTTTGTTCTAGGTTCTGGGGATATAGCAGCCATAGCTGAAATAGAAAACACAGCTATGTAAAGCTAAAAGATACACTATGTTAGATGACATTAAGGAGAAATATTAAGCAGGAAAATGAGATAGGGTGTGTATGTGTCAAGGTCTGGGGGAATTTTCAGAGTGAGTGGCCAAGAAAGGCCGTGCTGAAAAGATGAAATTCTAGCAAAGATGTAGCATGAGAGAGAGAGAACAAGCCATATGGGATATCTAGAAGACCATTCTAGGCAAAGGAAATAGGAAGTACAAAAGCCTGAGGTAGGAGTAGGCATAAAATGTTCTCAGGATCCACGAATTCAAGCATCTGACCCCAGACTAGATATTGGAAGATTCTTCTCTGAAAAAACAAAATGGACAAAAAAGACATAGATACTAATATTTGGGGGCTTATCTAATGAAAGCAGCAGATCCTTGCTCAGTCTCACACTAGTCCAACAAGCCCCAGAGTTTCCAATTTGCTTTTAGAGCCTTATTTTCTAATGTGAGCAAATATTCATGAATCATTAGTCATTTGATGAAAGTCTGTGACATGAAAGACAGTCATCAAATAAACAAAAAAAAAAAAAAAGAAAATCAAAGAAATCAAAAACAATTCAGAAAAATTCAAAACCTCCTAAAAATACATAGTTGTTTTTTATATCTTCTGAGAGACAAAATAATATATGTCATCCTTTAAGAATAAAATGCTGCTAAAAATGAAATTCAAAGAATAAAAACAATTGAATACTGACAATATAAAATGAGTAATGTATAACTGAAGTAGAAAGGTAGAAAGATAAACATCTCAGAATTGGACAGAAATATCCCAAAATGTAGAACAAAAAAGAAAAAAGCTAGAAAATAGTCAAGAATCAATAGGAAAATTAAAGAGTCACTCCACTCCAGAGCTCCTATATACGTGCTCCAATATAAAAGCCCATCAAGTGCCCAGCACAAAAAAAAAAAAAAAAAAGGGAAAAGAAATTCACATAATTACAAAATCTCAGAACACTGGAAATTAAAAGATCTAAAAGTTTCTGGAGTTCAGGTAAGGTTATATGCAAAATGATGAGAAATCAGTGAATTTAAATTTAAAATTCTGAAAGTGATTTTTAAATTAAAATCAAGGCTTCAAAAATTCTCTTCCCATGCACACTTTCCAGGAAAGTATCTTCCCTTTCCAGAAACCAACTTAGTCAGTTAAAATAAGTGAGTAAACAAAGAGGAATGAGTCCCTGCTTAATCACCACTACAAACACTGGCCACATATTCAGAGCATCCAATGAGCTTTTCAGAGCCTATCTCTCCGGTATGAACAAAGTTAAATGACCACTAGACATTAATGGGAACCAAGAAAGAGGAAAACTGATGAGAGAGAAGAATAAAATTCTCCAGTAGGATGACGAAAAGAAATCCCAAGTGATAGGTGTGCAGTAGACTTCAAAAGCAGCCCATCTCAATTAAAAGATGGGAAGGAAAAACTGAGGAAAGGATGTCTCATGAGGAGAAAGAGAAGCTGATAGATTGCTTAACGCATCTGACCATATTGAAAAGAGTTTTATAGAGGTAGAGAGTTAGAAAAAATATTGGTGACTGGAGTAAAGAGGTTATGATACAGGTTTCTTGGGTCTGATGTACAGTGTGAATAAATGCTTGCAGCTCTTAGCCCTTTATTGATCAATGAGGAACTTTTTTATTAATATTTTCCTTTGTTAAAGGAGGAACCATAACTCTCCGTAGCTGTACATATAACCCTTTTCTCCTAAAGAGGAGTCAGTCAGTGCTCCTGTATTTTTAATTTTTTTGTCAAAGCAAGAAGTAAATACTTTAGAATTGTTAAATATATAAATAAAGTGAATAAAGTTGAAAAAAATAGTATTTCCATATCCTGACTTTCTCCCTCCTCCTTTCAGTACTCTAGACTTGCACAATTTAGCCCTCTCAAAATCTGAAAATTGGAAAGCGACAGTGGAACCTGCAGAAAGTTCTCTTGAACACTTGATAACTCGTTTACTGGAACTGGGAAGATTACAACATATGACTATTCAAAAAGAGAGGCCCAGGCTACAAACTACTCTCTATACTCCAGCAGTTACTGAATGATCCTTTTCCTCCAAAGTTATACCAAAAGTGAGACAGCCAAAACCTTGTGACTCTTTGAGTCTTCAGATACCTTGTGTAGATAAAGATCAAGAAAAAAGAAAAAACAATTCTGGTTCTTGCAAGCTTGAGCAAAATTCTTTAAAATGGAATTGGAGCAATGCTGGCAAACAGATGGAATTCTAGACCACCATCTCTAAAAAGTTCTTCCACCACAAAACAATTGATTGCAACTGACGATGATAAGAATCCCAAAAGTTCTATTTTAAATCCATGCCAAGACCTCTCATCCAAGCCTACTGCTGGCCAGACAACTCAATCACTGGTTAAAATGGTCTCCATAAGATGTCTGCCATCAAGGTCTCCAATGCCAGTTTCACCTATACTTCTGTCTTTTCCCGAAAATCAGAAGGAAATTAAGGCACTGAAGAGAAACTTTGGAACCAAAAAGAAACATTACCGACAAAATATAGTGTTGAATAGACCATTCTATATTCAGAAGCTAAACTGTTTGTCACCTTCCTTTATTGCTAAGGATAAGTGCTCACCCACTGACCAAAAATTACTCTTTTCTTTCATACACCTCAATGTGAACAGATCTATTCTAAGAAGCCCAACTAAGATATGGTTAATTATTCCAAGACACAGGTATTATTAAAAAAAAAATCACATCAAACAGTTGCTTGATGTGATATGGAGTGTAACTTGTGAAAAGCACTGCTGGGACGTCTATATATAAATCCACAGGCTTCTATACTTATACGTTTGACAATCTTTTGTAATTTGTGTTTCAAGGAAATGGTTCATTTAGTAGACTATTCTATTCAAAAGGCTATTCTTTTTTTCAGTGATCGTTTTCCAGTATAATTCCATCAATAAATGGTATAATTGGAAAAAAAAGTTCTAATATACTTGTATATTAGAAAAATACACAAGTAGAGATATAAAATTATCATAACCTATTTTGATCAGCTCTAAACAATATTTACATGTGACAGTAATATAAAAAAAGGCATATTGATTTAACCAAAAAATCGTGACATAACTCTGTTAAGAGCAGTGAAAGGAAGTGTGTGTGTGTGTGTGTGTGTGTGTGTGTGTGCGCATGTGCACGCATGCGTGCATGTGTGTGCATTTTAGGGGCAGGAAGGGTGGTATAACTAATAATTTCTCAGTTTCCATAATAGGAAGTGAACGAATAAGGCCTAACTTTGAAAATTAAAGAGATAATGGCATATTTTGACGTGTAAGATAAAAACCAGAAGAAACAGCTAAATTAGTTGAAGTAATTGCCACTGGAGAGCCAGACTTCTGCTAGGGTGGAGAATGAAGGAAAGCAGAGGCTATTTTTACTGTATATTCTGGGATAAAATCTTTCACTATGCACATATATTATTTTCACAAAAATAAAATTTAAAGAAGAAAAAATAATCAGGGTACAAATAAAGGTATATGTATAATAATGTCTATCAATATATCCTTTGAAATTCTAATTTTAAAAACCTAAATTTCCAATATAAGGCATCATTAAATTATTTGAGTATTACAGAAGTTAGAAAAAATACAGCTAATAGTATTTGGATTTATCAAGAATATTTGACATTGAAGGAAGTTGAAGACATAATAGTAATTGAAAGTATAGGACAGAAAACTATATACAGTATGATTTAAATTTTATAAATATGTATAAAATTCAGAGGAAAAAAGTTGAGAAGAAAGTAGATGAAGCTGTTAACAAATGGTAACTCTTCAGTGATAATTCTAACATTTTTCAGACTTCTCTGAATTTTCCAAATTTTCTACAAAAGAAGTAAATTGCTTTTATAATCAAGGGGAAAGATGACATTTCAAGTAATTGATTTATTTATTTGAAAGCAAATTTTACCATTCAAAACCTGGCCAAGTAGAAACAACATCTACTAACTCCAGAGGCATAGTTCAGCATTGTGTGCTACTATCGAAGGACAGGTTATCTCATTGACACCTCAGTCCTCAAAAGAGTGAGACACTGAACAAGAACATTTCAAAGAGAGGGTCAAAGGGTATTCAAGTTATAAAACAAGTGAGGGAGTTGGGGAGTAGTGGACAATGAGAGAACTGAGAACAGGAGACCTGCAAGCACAGAAGATACATTTCACCAACTTCCCTATGTAAATAGACCTCTAAATTTTTATTCTTATGCCCCATAAGTTAATTTTCATTTTTTTTATTGCATTTTAGGTTTGGGGGTACATGTGAAGAACATGCAAGAGTGTTGCATAGGTATACATGGGGCAGTGTGATTTGCTGCCTTCCTCCCCTTCACCTATATCTGGCATTTCTCCCCATGCCATCCCCCCACAACTCCCCACCCCCCACTGTCCCTCCCCTATTTCCCTCCGATATATATCATTTCTTTTTTTTTAACTTTTAAATACATTTATTATTTTGTTTAATTTTTTTAAATTTTTGTGGTTACATAGTAAGTGTGTGTGTGTGTGTACATGTGTGTGTGTGTGTGTGTGTGTGTGTGTGTGTGTGTGGTACAGGAGATGTTTCAATATAGGCATATAATGTTATATATTAACATCATGGAGAAAGAGGTATGCATCCCCTCAAGCATTTATCCTTTGTGTTACAAGCAATCCATTACACTTTGTAAGTTATTTTAAAATGTACAATAAGTTATTATTGACTATTGTCACCCATTTGTGCCTTTTCTGAGTCACAAAGATTTGTAGCCTTAAAAAGTTTCAGGACCTAAAAGTTTCAGGATACAGAATTAATATACACAAATCAGTAGCCCTACTATACACACCAAGAGCGACCAAGCTGAGAATCAAATCAACTCAACCCCTTTTACAATAGCTATAAAAAAATTAAAATACTTAGGAATATACTTAACCAAGAAGGTGAAAGACCTCTGCAAGGAAAACTACAAAACACTGCTGAAAAAATCATAGACATGAAAAACAAATAGAAACACATCCTAAGTGCATGGATGGGTGGAATCAATATTGTGAAAATGATCATACTGCCAAAAGCAATCTACAAATTCAATGCAATTCCCATCAAAACACCATCATCATTTTTCACAGAACTAGAAAAAACAATCCTAAAATTCATATGGAACCAAAAAAGAGTCCACATAGCCAAAGCAAGACTAAGCAGAAAGAACAAATTGTGAGGCACTACATTAACTGACTTCAAACTACAGTATAAGACCACAGTCACCAAAACAGCATGGTATTGGTGTAAAAACAGACATATAGACCAATAGAGAATCCAGAAATAAAGCCAAATACTTACAGCCAACTGATTTTTGACAAAGCAAACAAAAACATAAAATGGGGAAAGGACACCCTATTCAACAAATAGTGCTGGAAATAATTGACTAGCCACATGTAGAAGAATAAAACTGGATCCTTATCTATCACCTTATACAAAAATCAACTCAAGATGAATTTAAGATTTAAATCTAGACCTGAAACCATAAAAACTCTAGAAGATAACATTGGAAAAATCTTTTAGACACTGGCTTAGGCAAAGCCTTCATGACCAAGAACCCAAAAGCAAAAACAACAAAAACAAAGATAAATAGATAGGACTTAATTAAACTAAAAAGCTTCTATGAAGTAAAAGAAATAAGCAACAAAGTAAACAGACAACTCACAGAGTGAAAGAAAATCTTTGCAATTTATACATACATCAGACTAATATCCGGAATCTACAAGGAACTCAAACAAATTAGTAAGAAAAAATAAACAATCCCATAAAAAAGTGAGCTAAGGACATGAATAGACAATTTTCAAAAAAGATATACAAATGACCAATAAACTTATGAAAAAATGCTCAACATTGCTAATTATTAGGGAAATGCAAATCAAAACCACAATGCGATACCACTTTACACCTGCAGGAATGACCATAATTGAAAAATTAAAAAATAATAGATGTTGGTGTGGATGTGGTGAAAAGGGAACACTTTTACACTGTTGGTAGGAATGTAAACTACTACAACTACTATGAAAAACAGTGTAGAGATTCCTTAAAGAACTAAAAGTAGATCTACCATTTGACCCAGCAATCCTACTCCTGGGTATCTATTCAGAGGAAAAGAAGTCATTATACAGAAAAGATACTTGCACACGCATGTGTTTCACAATTGCAAAAACATGGAACCAGCCCAAATGCCCATCAATCAATGAGTTATATATATATAACATTTTCTTTAGAAATGAAATAGAAATAGAAATGAAATGGAAAATACATATATTTTCTATTTTTCTATTGATTATTATTGACATAGAGTCCTATCTTAGACACTGTGGATAAAAGGTTTATTAAAAAAAAAAAGGCTCTGCCTCTGAAGAAGTCTCAATACTATTTTTTTTTACATACAGAATGTACAGTGAATTAAAGGTCCAAAAGGATGACTGGCTCCAAATATATATATAAATAGAAAATATATATATACAAATAGAAAATTGTCTATTCATGCCCATATATATATATATGTATATATATATACACACACACACATACACACACCATGGAATACTACTCAGCCATAAAAAGGAACAAAATAATGGCATTTTCAACAACCTAGATGGAACTGGAGAGCCTTAGTCTAAATGAGTAACTCAGGAATGAAAAACCAAATATGGTATGTCTCACTCATAAGTGGGAACTAAGCTGAGAATGCAAAGGCATAAGAATTATATGATGGACTTTGGGGACCAAGGGGAAAGGCAAGGGGGCGGTGAGGGATAAAAGACTACACATTGGGTACAATGAACACTGCTCAGGTGATGGGTGCACCAAAATCTCAGAAATCATCACTAAAGAACTTATTCATGTAACCAAACACCACCTGCTCCCCCAAAAACTTATGAAAAAGAAAAACCCAGTTTCAGGGCCTACTTTTAATATTTGCATCACCAAGGAGAGGAGGAGAATGTAGGCAACTCCAACATCAGTAAAAAGGGAAGGCATAACAGAGGTTCAAACATGTTTTGGCTGTGGAGATTTGTAGCTTTTAAATGGAACATAGCAGTTTACTGGTAATGATTGAAATACCTAGAAATTCAGAAGACGGTGGCTGGGAAAGAGGTCCCTGATTTCCTTATTCATCTAGAGCCACTCTGCAGCTTATATTTTTGAGAGATCTCCTAAGAATTCATTTGAATCAAGAATTCTGCAACTAAGAATTAATTCTCTGAGCTCAGTCATATAGTATCAAATTACCCAGCAATTAGCTGTCAGTCGTCACATCCTATAGCCTATGCTTATGTATCTCATATACTCCATTTTATAAATGTTAGCCTCAGGTTCATACTGACAGTGTCATTTTAAAAAAACTAAACCAGCTGGACATATCTCACTGGAAGTATCAGGAAGGAAGAAAGCATGAGTAATATGGTTGGTACATGAACCCAGCCCCTCTTCAAAATAACTATTCAATCTATGATTAGTATATATGTTGCATCATTTGTCCAGTACTTTTAAAATACATACTTTTCTAGAGATAATATTTTTAGGTTAACCATGTCCTAGGATCACCTACCCATACAGTGTACCGAGGTTCCAAATCACCACAGTCCTTTGCAAAAATATAAGAACAGTTTCCTGGGAAGTAATAGTAGATGCCATCAAATGTTTCAAAATGATACTGTCCCCAGGTTTTGCAAATCCCATCTCTGCCGTTGCCCATGTTTGGGACTGAAAAGAAACAGGATAATATTTTGTAGACAAAATAAATTACACCTTTCTAGCAATGTTCAGTCATGGTAAACAATTCTAATTTTCATTCAAATTTCCTTCCTTGGTGGTATGTATCATAGGAAGAAATAACTAATATAAAATTACCAGTTGCTCTCAAAACTTTCAAACTCCCCTGAAGAAAAACAAGGTCTCCAAGTAGTTGTGAAGAAAAGATTTATGTTAGAAAGTTCCTTAATTTTTTTTCCCAAAGAAAGACTCTAGAAGAAAAAAGGTATGGAAAATGATACAGTAAAAGGTCATAGTAATAAAGCAAGTAAGATGTCTCAGAAAAGAGAGAAATGTCACCACTGAATGTCCTAAAGATTAACATAGGCAGCATCAGCGTGTTCCAGTCTTTCACAAATGTCCTTTTATGATATCCGCAAAGAAAAATAACCACTGAGAAAAAAATCATGTTTACGTGTCTGGGACCTGGATGTGGGGAGCATTAGTCATTGAAAGTATGCTGGAATTTGGCCATAGCAGTGGCTTGTGCCTGTAATCCTAGCACTTTGGGAGGCCAAGGTGGGTGGATTGCCTGAACTCAGAAGTTTGAGACCAGCCTGGGCAACATGGTGAAACTCCGTATCTATGAAAACACAAAAAATTAACCAGCATGGTGGGGTGGCACGCATCTGTAAATCCCGGCTACACAGGAGGCTGAGACACAAGAATCGCTTGAACCCAGGAGGCAGAGGTTACAGTGGGGCAAGATTGAGCCACTGCATTACAGCCTGGGTAACAGAGTAAGAGTCTGTCTTTAAAAAAAAAAAGGCATACTGGAATTTAACAATTCATGACCTCAAACTGGCCAAATTTCAAGCAACATTTACCTTAAATCATACAACTGTATCTCCTGTTGTCATGCCTTTTTTCCTACCCTTGTAGATAGTCTTCTATTCAATTTTTGTTTTCTAAACTCTTCTCTTTAGAATAGTATGGAAATCAGTAACATTCACTGGCACTCAGTGTAAAACATTTTGATATACTCTAGGGGGAGCATAAAGATAAGGGTGACTCTTTACATGTTGTATTTTTGTGATTCTCACCTAAATTTATTAGCCTTGGCCAACTGTGGCCTTTTCAGGAAAAAAAACACAGAATGATTGATTTTTCAGGCAGTCTTCCCTGACAGTATGGGTCACTTCTGCCTCATATTTTCACAGCATCTTGTACTTTCCTTCACAGCACCTGTCACAAGTGTAATTATTGTGTATCTGTTGTGTATTTATCCCCTTCTCTAGACTTCAGCCTCCAGGAGGACAGGAACATGTTTGTATTTTTCACTGTTGTATCCCCAATGCCTAGCCTGGGATCTAGATGCTAGTAACTATCAATTAAACAAATGAATATTTATTGATTATTATTGACATAGAGTCCTATCTTAGACACTGTGGATAAAAAGTTTATTTTAAAAAATAAAAAGCCCCTGCCTTTGAAGAAGTCTCAATACTATTTTTTAACATATAAAATGTTCAATTAATTAAAGGTCCAAAAGAATGACTGGCTCCAAATAATAAATCTATTTTATAAAGCAAAAGAGTGATGAATGAGAACCTGGTTTTAACAGGCTATTACTATAGAAAGTGGAAAAAAATACTTGAAGAAATAGGAGAGCTCAATGAGAAGAAAAAGTAGGCCTATCTACTTTTGTTTTACATTGTTTCTAAATTACATCAAATTACTGAGAATGAATTGTGGGCTCCCTAGTTAATATACAGCTCCCAGTGGATGAACATTATTATAGCAAATTATGCTTTAGTTTTCTCTTTGATATCTCATAATTCTCTCATAAGCATCCCTGAAACTTACTGATCTGGCATCTTGTCCCAAGCGCCTGAAATATTTGACAGTCACATGTTCCAGTCTTAGAACAGAAAGCTCCATTAAGGCATTCATAAGGACAAGAACCTGAGGGGCAAAAAAAAAGTTATCTTCTGGCACGCATTTGTTCTTTTAGGCGTAATATGTCAACATACAGCTTGGACAAATTGTAATCACTATTAACTTAAACAGAACTCTGGGCCTCTTGCCTTGCTAAGCTAAAGAACTAAACCCATCAAGTCTCTATCTAATTCATTTCATTATGTGTGCTGTGAAGCAAGAAAGACAGGCTTTCACATCTCAAACTACCCTGAGAGCAAAGGTTAGCCCCTTTCAAGCAATTCAAAGGTCAAGTTCCCATGTAAGGAATCTCTGTCCCAGATGATGAGAACCAGAAATACACAAGCTGCAGATGATTCCGTTGACGGAGTTTGGCACTGGCTGCACATCCCATCAGCTCCTCTTCCAGGAGCAAACACTATATTAAAGAATGGGGTCTCTCACGTCTATAATCCTGTCACTCTGGGAAGCCAAGGCAGGCGGATCATTTAAGGTCAGGAGTTCAGATCATCTGGGCCAGCATGGTGAAACCCCATCTCTATTAAAAATACAAAAATTAGTCATATATGGTGGTGCATGCCTGCAGTCCCAGCTACTCAGGAGGCTGAGGCAGGAGAATCACTTGAACCCGGGTGGTGGAGGTTGCAGTGAGCCGAGATTGCACCACTGCACTCCAGGCTGGGTGACAGAGCTAGACTCTGTCTCAAAAACAAACAAAAAAGAATAGGGTCTATCATTAACTTGAGGGATAAGGCAAAGCATAAAACTCAAAGGGAAACTCCTGCTTTTGAAGAGAATGATTAAACATTTCATTTGAAGTTGGTGTGTTAATCCTCAGGCTCAATTACAAATGACACATTCTTTGAAACCTATGCTACTGTGCATGGTGGCGCACGTTTGTAATCCCGGTTATTCAGGAGGCTAAGGTAAAAGTCACTTAAACCTGGGAGATGGAGGTTGCAATGAGCCAAGATCATGCCACTGCACTCCAGCCTGGGCGACAGAGCAAGATTCTGCCAAAAAAATAAAAGAAACCTATGCTTAATTTTGATGAGGCAGAAGCCAAAGTCACTGCTGTCACCAAAAATATTCTTTCATGGAAAGAAAAATTATAAAATTTTCCCTAAGAATTATGCTAAAAAGAGGAAGCAAGCAACTATGAGCTGTAACCCCAATTTTACCATCATCTCCTGAGTAAATTTTAAAAATGCAAATGAACCAGTGAAAAAAATTTCCTCTAATAAGGAGAGGACAAGAAGCATCTGGCAAAACTCAAGCAGGAAGAATTTAAGTTAACACATGAGGAGAACTAGAGGACATCTTAGTTCCTGGAAGATAGTTATCTAGTTGATCATTTAACCAGAGTTCTGCCAAAGGCAAGGATTTGAAAACCCTTCTGATTCATTCCCACCTTAAGATCCACTGATTTAAAATGTCTCTTTACTTTAAAAAATGCACAAATCTCCAAGTATACCTTGAGGAAAAAATATGTTGTTTTAACCTAGTTCATAAATATGGGTAAAAAAAATAATGTTTTTAATAAACTTAAATGCAGTTTTTCCCCCTAGGGGGGCATGTATATTTACAGTTTATCTTAGATCACAGTGTTGCATTTTTCTGATGAAGAGATGTTAAATATTTAGATAAACAAATGTATTGCCTTAAATATATTTTCAGTTCCATTTATTCTCCTGAAAACAAATATCAAAGGAAAACTGGTAAGGATCACTGTTATTTTAAAGACAACAATGAGATTTTCTATTTCATAGTTACCACTCAAATTAAATTTCAAACTACCATCAGCATTCTGCTTAATGGAAATGGAGAATTGGTAACAAAAAAAAAAAATAGGGATTAAGGGGCAAATAACTGATTCACAATAAAATAGTTTCTGACATCCAGTGACATCTTCCTTGGTTATGCAATTATCAGCTTTGTCTAAATGTTTGGCCCTGGTTATTCTCAGAAACAATTCAAATTTCTCTAAGATGTGAACTTAAATGATTACTAAGTATTATTACCATCCTGGCTCACTTTCCTTCATGTCATATGTGGAAACAATAAAGACTTGATTCAATATATCCCCTAAAACGGATTTTCTGAGAAAGCAAATAAAAAAACATAGGTATAAACACTGACCTTTTATTTTGCTCTCACCCCAATTAATAGCATCATGGAAAAAATATCTCGGAGAAGTAGCTTCAAACTTTGAAAGAAAGAAATGAGAATACAAGACAGTTAAACTATTCAATTCAAGCCAAACATGCAAATTGGCAAATCTAGAAAATAGCTACAAATACAGAAATGATAAAGTGCTGACTTTAAATTTTCTGGGGTTATCAAAGCTTATCATCTCCATGAGGCAGAAGGGATTCCTCTGAGGTTGTGGTTAGAAGACCTCATTCAGTCTTCGTTTTGCCTCTTACATGACTTTGACAAGTCAATTACTTTGTCTGCTCTCTGTTCTGTTCTCACTTCCCATCCTCCCCTACCCTTCTCATCATCCACTCTTTCTCCCAGCGCCCCATTCTCCAACCACCTCGAAACCTCCTGAAAGGAGCCTGATTGGAGTCTAACCTTTGGAATAATTGATTGCTTTGCCTGCAGAAATAGCAATTCTCTGACACTTCCAGGTGCAGATAGGTTTGGGAAAAAAATGTACAGGTTGACAGACCAACAGATGGTGATGTCCTGCCTGCCTGCACACCAATTGGTAAAGAAAACATCCACAGAAGCATCTGCTGTTTTGGTGCCAGTATGTGTTACCTTCAGCCTCCAAAGAGCTGACTGACATTTTAAAGTTCCTAGAACATTTAAATGTATCTTTTTACAGAGCCCAAAGTAGTTCAGAGTAGTGGTAAAGGGCATGAATTTTAGAATCAAACAGAGTTGGATTAAAGTCCTGACTGTCATTACTTACCCTTAAGCAAGTTTCCTAACCTCTTAGTGCCTCTGTTTACTCATCTATAAAATAGGAACAATAATGGCACTTCCCTCGTTACATAGTTATGATAATGAATTAAAGCCATGTACGTAAAGCCTCATACATAGTGTCTCACACAGAAAATTAGCAATAAAGGGATTTATAGCAATCAATCTAAGCAATCCAGATGAAATCATAAGGTTTTTAAAAGAGCTATATAGCTTAGTAGCAAATAGTTGTGGCTTACTAAAACTAATCAATCATGGATTATTATTCCAACTCCATACCAATTGAGGGTATGATCTAGGGCAATATTCTTTCCAATAGCACTTACATTTCACCAGAATAAACACACCCAAAACTTGCCAAATAATCATCAAATTAAATAGCAGATGGTATTAGAAAAACTGAAGAAAAGATAAGAAGCATGGGAAAATGAGGCCTGTGACTTCAGGAGCCAAGTTCTTTCTCAGCAGATTCTGCTGTCCCTTATGTGAAATTTTATTTTGACATTTTCCTTCTCAGTATTTTTCCTCTTAACAAGAAAATGTACTCATGCTATATCTTTTTTTTTTTTTTTTTTTTTTTTTTTGAGAGATAGGGTCTCACTGTGTTTCCTAGGCTGGGCTCTAACTCCTAAACTCACTGTGTTTCCTGGGCTGAGTTCTAACTGCCAGACTCAATCTGGGACTGCAGGTGCATGCCATCATGCTCAGCCCATGCTATATAAAAGACACACTCTCTCACTATTTGAAGATTTCATTCTAAACTCTTTGCCCCACATCATGGTTTCAGGTTCATTGTCTCCTGTTCTCAATACTTCCAGGTTTTATCCTCACTATTCAATCTCCCCTTTTTGTCCTTGCCTCTGCCTTCAAACTAAGTTAGACTCAACAACAGTCTATGATCTCGATTCCCTGAAGACAGCAAGTCTTATTCTCTCTTCAGCCGCATGCCTTCTGGATGCCTAAATCTAACACAGCCCCAGATATTACTGGACACCAAAACCTTCCTCCTTTGGCTCCAAAACGGTTTATGCCAATCCCTTTAATGAAAGCCAGTCATCTCTGATACTCACAAAAAGCATATGAAGACTTCAACTCTACCTCACAAGCCCTATCACCTTGAACAAATTATTCAACCAGGTCAGCCTCAGATTCCCAGTCTACAAAATGGAATAAAACTACCTGCCACACAGAATTCTGAGGATTCAGTGAAATGATATAAGCAACGCAGCAAGAATAGTGCCAGGCACATAATAAGAGTTTTAAAGATACAGACCATGCACAGTAGCTCACGCCTGTAATACCAGCACTTTGGGAGGCCGAGGCAGGTGGATCTCCTGAGGTCAGGAGTTCGAGACCAGCCTGACCAACATGGTGAAACCCCATCTCTACTAAAAATACAAAAAATTAGCTGGGCTTGATGGTGTGCACCTGTAATCCCAGCTACTCAGGAGGCTGAGGCAGGAGAATCTCTTAAACTCAGGAAGCAGAGGTTGCAATGAGCCAAGATAACCCCATTGCACTCCAGCCTGGGCAACAAGAGCAAAACTTAGTCTCAAAAAAAAAAAAAAAGAGTTGCAAACATGCTACCTGTTTTTATTATTAGATAAAAACAGAAAACATTGGATAACATTAGAACAAGATAAAAATATATAATTTGTTTTTTGCTCCATATCCTTTAGCCCAATTCAATCCACATCTCCTTTATGTAAATTAGAATGACTCCCTAGCATACCACCTTTCTGGCTACCACAACATCCTATTTACCTGGCATACCATACATCATAATACATTTCATAAAACATGTCACTAAGATGTGACATGCAGATTTCATTAATTTATTTATTTATTGACATATTTGAACTCAGAATGGCATCTTACATTTATAATTGGGAGCATATTTACTTTTCATGTCACATGAATAATGGCAAATGATTGAGGCTGCCTTGGATTTAATAAACCCGTTACAAAGAAATGACTTCTTTATAAGCCTACCTCCATAACAGATGGAGTCTCTAGATAACAGGCATTGCTATTCCTGTTTAGATCTCTAGCACTGTTCTTGGTATGTCATCAACAAATACCAAGTGAACTGAAAAAAGACATGGTTCGAATGGGAATCTGTCTCCCAAGGGTGTTTAGAGCTGTGACTGTGGCCGACTTTGTTGATACCTCTCCCTTCATCCTCTCAGCCCATCTCTGAATTCACCTTGGAATTCATCTGGATTTCTGTGCACATTGAAAGCCTCCAACTTTCTGTCTTTGCCTGAGGGCAAAGTCCAAGCAGAAAAAACTATAGAAGGTGTCTTACTGGGGATTTTAGGCTCTCCAGAGGCTTCCCTCAACCAGAAATGATTCTAGGACACATTCTACATGGTTCTTCAGAAAATCTCCAGTAAGACTGAGCTCCAGCTGCCTACTGCAGAAAGCCCCTCATTAACATACCCCATATTTTATTTTCTCCCTTCTTCACATATTTTCTTTTTTCCTTTCTTTGGGCACTTCCCAAATAAATGACCTACGTAGTATGTCTCTTAGAGCCTGCTTTCAGGAAAGGAATTTTTGGAATGTAATGCAAATGCAAAAACGTCCCAGGCAGCAGGTGCATATATTGATGTAACTGATAAAAAAGAAGGGCCCATCCTTCCTCTTTCCTGATTACATCTCCACAGGACAGGGAGAGGCACAGGGAAATACTATCTCTAGATGGGAAATCACTGCAGCGCACAAATGTGCTATTTACAGAAGTATGGGTCTACACTTTCTTGCTCACCTCACTGCCAAAGTATTTCTGAGTCCTTATTTGCATACTTATCTGCCCATCAGTGCTCTGTTTTCCTGGGGGTAGTGAATAATCTATGGATAAGAATGGCCTTGTAACACATGAAATGCCAATTCTAAACAGCGTAGTGTAAGATTATGACCTCATTGACCATTGTTGAAACTTCTTCTTTTAAAAATTGTTCAGATAATAAATGATCTTGACAGGTTTTCTAGCCTTAGGATGTAGAAGTACAAGTCTCCTGCTCTTCATTCTCCCTAAAAGGGAGTAAAGTATACAAATTCTAAAAACATCTAAATGGACAACAGTATAACCCCATCCATTGGGCACTTAATGTGACATCTTTGGGGCATATTTCACAGTTTCTTCAATCTAGTGGGTTCACCAGAATGCAGTTTTTCTCAAAATCTGATTTTCTCCTGAGTCATGCATAAGTCCTTTTGTGGGTAATATGGTCTACTGGCAAATATACACTTAAAATTTCTCAGAGAAAAATCATTTTAACCACTTTACATGATACTTAAGTACTTTAGTACACAAAACACTCTTTTTAAGAAAAATAAAATGTGTTTCTATTCCACAGACAATCCTTTGCCTATTCTGGTGTCAGAGGTACTCCAACCAGAATGGTTCCATCTTGAATAGGGGCTGGATAAAATGAGTCTGAGATCTGCTGGGCTACATTCCCAAGAGGTTAGGCATTCAGTCACAGGAGGAGATAAGAGGTCAGCAGGACTGGTATCACAAGATACAGGTCATAAAGATCCTGGAGGAAAGAAGCTGGCCCAATCCTGCCAAAACCAAGATGGTTATGAAAGTAACTTCTGGTTGTTCTCACTGCTCATTATACTCTAATTATAATCCATTAACAGGCTAAAAAACACTCCTACCAGTGCCATGACAGTTTACAAATGCCATGGCAATGTCCAGAAGTTATCCTATATGGTCTAAAAGGAAAAGGAACCCTTATTTGTAGGAAATTCCTGCCCCTTTCCTGGAAAAGTAATGAATAATCCACCTCTTGTTTAGCACATGATCAAGAATACAAGTATACTCAGTCAAGCCCCTCATGCTGCTTCTCTGCCTGTGAAGTAGCCATTCTTTTATTCCTTTACCTTCTTAATAAACTTGCTTTCACTTTACTCTATGGACTTCCCCAAATTCTTTCTTGCATGAGAACCAAGAACCCTCTCTTGGGGTCTGGATCAGGACCCCTTTCCAGTAACACTGGTACAAAAAAGGTCACTACTCTTGGTAAGAATAAATCAGTTCTGTCTTCTAACCAGAAACAACAGCATATCAGATCTGTCTTCCATATAACCACTAATTCTCTTTAATTAATACTACATAATATAAATATGCAGATATGTATCACAAAATAAAAACTATTTGCAATTTAATATTTAACAAAGGCTTCCTTGAATATTTAAGCTGTTTGCTACATAAATACTCAAATCATATTCCTTTTCAAAGAAATGCCTTTAGTAAGTTAGGATTCTGTATTTTTCCATCCATCCTTTAGAGAAGGTTTTTTAAACCCATCCACTTGAGCATTCCAACCAGTTTGAAGAAATTGCAATTATCCAATATCCTTCATATAAAGGCACCCAGGCAAGAAGTTCTCCTCAAACGCAGTGCTATGCTGGCCCTCCAAAAAACAGGTACTTATTCAGAGATACCCACAATTTAAATTTATCATACATTATAAAAGCTTTCTGTCAAAACATCAGGACGTATCTGATGCCCTTTTTGCAGTATTTAACTCATATCATTTACACTTTTCTGGCCCCTTTTTGTGTGTATTTGTACTGTTGTCATTGCTCTAACTGATATTGTGCTTAATTTTTAAAGTACTTCTAATTTTCCAGCAAGTGCACGGATTAAATGCCTCAAGCCTATTAGTAGGTAACTGAGCTAAATAACAACAACAACAAAAAAAAATGTATTTTATTCCAAACAAGTTGATGTGACCTGAGCATCAATTCGATGGTCACAGAAAAGCAATAGAGAAGTTTGCTTCTTCTTCCTCTTTCTTATTTTGTTCTTAGGTTTTATTCCCCTCCACAAAGGTCTCATTGTTGAAGTGACAGCAGAGTCCAAAACAGAATGGCTTATTTCTCTGCCTCTCTCTCCATCTGAGGCATAACCTACCTGTGCTGCTAAAAGAGCTCTTTTCTGTCGATTTTCATTAAACCCGTTTCTGGAAGAAAACAAAAAGAACTTGTATAGTCAAAGGCCCCTAGGCAACCTGAACAAGCTTTTCCCAAGAGAGAGCTGGTGTTTTCCTTCTGATTTCCATCACTTTATCAAAGAGGTCTTTCTTGGTTTAACATTTAAAAGGTCCCCCCTCCCCGTTCTGGAGGGGTTAGATTTGGGTGGTGGTACTGTCTCATTTTACAAAATTCAGGAGTGTCCCCAAATTTCTCTAGTCTTTGATATAAACTGAATTTTAGGAAGGGACTTCGAGATGGAAAAATAAACAAAATAGTGAAACACTGTAGCACCAACCCTGGCAATATTTTCTCCACAAGACTTTGCAAATCTGGTGAGGTCAGTATTTACACTTTCCCTTTTTTCAAACATAGTACTTAATTCTCTCCTGTGCTATGTCATAAAGGGCAAGTTAACATTAATGTGAGTAAGAACATCAAATTGTAATTTATCAAAATTAAATGGTTAATAATTCACTAAGGCATATATTTTGTTTATAATGTTTTCTGTTTTTGTGTTTTATTTATCAATGAACATTTTATTTTAAAAAACTCAAACGGTAAATAGAATTCTGCTTTTCATTAAGCAGATCAGTTTAGTCCAAAAAATGATTTTAATTATTTACTGCTAAAACAATTTTTTCTTTTTATCATTAAAAACTGTGTTACTCTGCTAAAAGTAAACATAAGACATTTGTTAGCAATAATGCATATTAATAAAGTAAAGGATAACATTATGGAATATAACTTTTTTTTCAAACCTTTGAAGTGAAAGTAATATCTTTTTAGTATCTACAGTCACCAAGGACTCTTGCAATTAAAATGAAAGAAATTATTTTGTAATTAAAATGAAAGGAAATATTTTCATAAATAAGGAAATGAATGCTTGATCAGTTTAATATGTAGAAATGTTTTCTTAAGTATATTTTATGCTTTTTTTGTAAAATATTTCACTTATTTTTTTCAAAAACCGATATAGTTGCCTGCTGAGGTTTGCTCATTCCCATTAACTTTATGTTTTAGAAGACACGAAGAACAAGAAATACTTACTTTGATGTTCCTGTCAGTATAGATGATGTGCAAATATATTCTGCCAGAGACAAATATATAAGCATGAAAAAAAATTAGCCAAATATGTTGGCTACATGTTCTAGTTGTTTAAAAGAACATTTTAACCTAAATTCTAAAATTCTGATTGAAGTTTGCTGTTATTTTTTCATTTTTAGAGGGATTTGACCAGCAAATTTCCTGTGAGACAATGAGTGACTGATAAGCTAAAAAGAATGGGTTAGTGTACATGGATTTACATAGAGACGCAATGCAATCGAACAGATACTAGACTTGGAATCAGAGATCCAAGTTTTTGTTCTAGTCCTACCACATAGTATATTCCAAGCTTAAACAAAATACCAAGCACACCATTAAATGATGGTGTTGGACAGTTATCTGCAAAGTCTCCTCAGCTCTCAAGATTCTGTGACATTTTTCTCCTTGAGGTTTCAGTCACAACTGGAACTGGAAAACAGCGCCTTTGACCTCTGTAGTCTTTTATACTTAAGCAATTTCTCCCATTTCTCCTACAAGCTTTAAAGCATACAGACCTTTACAGGGATTAAAAATTAACAACTGAAAGTAAATAAATCCTCTCCCCATTTTGTTAGGTGTGATAAAGTGCTTATCTATTAAAAACATAGCATGTATTTCACAAATTTAAAATACTCCAAGAAAATGTGTTACAGCGTAAAACTAGTTCCACAAAATGCCCAAAGTATGGAACCTGGCTGAAGGCACATGGAGGTGTGTTATGTCATTTTAATTTTGTGTATGCTTCGAAGTTTTCCGAAATAAAAAAACAATCAAATAGCAAAAAAATTTATTTAAAAAATTACCATAAAAATAATTAAAATCAATTTTTATCCCCAGATGTTAGACATTCTTAAAACATTTTTTACTATTCTTTAGGTTTTTTACTATTCTTTAGGCATGAAGAAAGTTTGAGTACTCAATTGCTCTTAGTTTATTATAAAATTTCAAATGTTTAAATTGCAAATAGGCAATTACTTTAAATCATCTTTTAGGAGAGAAAGTTAGAATCAGAACTGCTTCTAACACAATTGCATATCATGATAAAAGCATGATTTTTTAACCAGTCATTTAAAAAAGATTCAAGAAATGAAAACTAAAAAGTTCTAGTACAATTGCATATCATAATAAAAGCATGATTTTTAACTAGCCATTTTAAAAAGGCACGCAAAATGAAAACTAAAAGGTCTAAATTATCTACATTATTAAAAATTTTTTTAATGTGATCTTAGTATTATTTAGTACAATTCATCCTAATAACTTCAAAGTGCTTTATACAAGAAAACTATTTGTATAAACTGTAAGAAAAACAAAAATACAGTAAATTAACATAAAAATTTAATCTGACTTCTTACCTTGTAATGAAAACAGCAGTACGTGAAGCAAGAATATACTCCAAGGTATCATTAAATTGAGTTTTCTTACAACGTTCATCTCAGCGTAGCCTTTCTCCCTGAAATGTAAACAAATTGTTGGTCTTTATTATAATGGCATCTTAGAAGTATGCTTATTTGTGGTGTACTCAAATTCTAATAAATATAGCTATATAATAAAGTAATTCAAACAGGAATTCTAGGCTTTCCAACTACATACAGCATCTGAAGCTTTAGAACTTGCAGGCAACCCTTTGGCTGAGTCTCTCATTAGTGATGCATGGCAGCTTCTTACCTGAGCCCGTGTTAGTCACACCCACACCTGCACATCATAGGCCTTTTTAGCCTATATCAACCTTTTATACCTTCTCAAGACAGCAGAATTAAAATAAAAAGAAACACCTCTTGGTATCTCCTGAAGCCATAAGAGGTAACCATTATTCCTAATTGTTGATCTAATCTTTGCATTTTAGAATTTTATTCATAAAATAATTACTATACTTTGAAAAAGAGTGAAATAAAACCCTGTCAATATTTCCTAAAATGTCTACATGTTCTTTAAGAATTAAAAATTTTCTTTAGGAATTAAAAATTACACTAAAACGATGTGCATATATTTTCAAGTACCATTACAGTGTAGTTTAAGCTGACATGTTCATGGACCCACAGATATTTCTGTTAAACATTCTGCAACAAAAGTAACAAATTTTTTTAAAAGATAATATTCTATATTTGACTTTAAAAAGAAAATAAAGTAACTCACTCAGCCCTGAAAACCTTCCATTCACAACCTGTTTTTCCAAACTTTGTGACAAATGCCCAATTAAACAACAGATATTATTGCAGTAGTAGGAGCACTCTTCTTTAAAAGGGACTGACTGCCTACATTGGCATGAGAAAAGAGCTCTAACATGTCATAATGAACTTTATAGATCTGAGCCCCATGTATTAGTGAAAACCATCCTTATATAGTGGGTGCACATTTCTACACCAGATCCCATGACTTACCTGCACTATTATCAAAGTCATTTAACAGACGGTGTGCAATAGTAAAGAATGGCTAACGACACAGGAGTACTTTATGAAACAAAAAGCCACAGCAGTTCTTAACATCCTGTCTCCAGATAACGCTTCTGCAATGACCTCTGAGTCTTTTCTATTCAGTATCCTTGACATCCTAACATCATACATAGTCCAATATTCCTTATAGAAACAGTCTCCTGTTTGTGTTCCAAATCCCACAATCATTTACTCTTGCTCTAAATAATCTTAATTCCTTTCTTTATAATAGCTAATTCCATGAGCCAACAGATGTTTGTCTATAAAGGAAAAAGCTTAACCATGAAAGAACAAACAAATTTCACTAAAATTATAAAATAGCTATGTGCCTGTCCACCCCCAGCACACACATATGTATGCATACATTCACATAGGTTTAAGTAATTATAGTGTTTAATATTATTTATTGAAAGGTTACTAGTCTATTACTCTTGAACTAATTAAAAAATCATAAAAATCTAACATAATTAACTGACGTATAGTTACATTCTAAATATTACTCCAAAAATACATATTTACTCAATAAGCAAAACCATAAAATATTTTAGATTCTTAAGAAGATGTGACTATAAAATAAATTAAAAGGCTAATATTGAAATCTATTTAGAAGACAATACTTTTCCTCAACAAAATATTTTTAATTAAGGGAATTAAGTTTGTTTATGAAGAATGTTTATAGACTCTTTCTGGAAAAGGTTGAGATGTATATAACCAATATGCATTACTAAGTCCCATCCTTATTTTACAATAGTTGCTTTTACTTCAGGATTATTTTTCCCTATCTAGCAACTGCTTGACTTTTTTGCTTGAACTTAAAAATTTCCAAAATTAACAGCCATATGGAAAGATCTCAAGCATAAACCAAAGTTAAATTTTACAGTTCAATAAAATAAACATTTTGATAATAATTACAGTTATTTCTAACACTACTAGAACTTTGTAAGAAAAAGTTAGTAAGCAGCAACATAAAGTCATGTGAAAATCATGTATTTCTGATACAAACTTTGGTATTTTTATGTACTTAATTAAAATGTAGTAACTCTTAACTTTTCATCTCAAATTTCATATAGTATAATAAAATTTTTTATTCAAAAGCATCACAGCCATTTTCACTGAATAAAGTTGAAAATTTCAAGCCTGTATTACTTGACGTTTTTATGAGTGCTTTTCTCTTTCAAACTAAATGTATTTAAAAACTATAAGTAGTTTTGTCTGGTAGAATTTGGCCAGGCATGGTGACTCACGCCTGTAGTCCTAGCACTTTGGGAGGCTGTGTTTGAGCTCAGAAATTTATGACTAGCCTGGACAACATGATGAAATTCTGCCTCAGAAAAAAAAAAAAAAAAATTAGCCGGGCATGGTAGCATGCTCCTGTAGTCTCAGCTACTACGGAGGCTAAGGTGGGAGAATTGTTTGAGCTCAGGAGGTCGAGGTTGCTGAGGTCACACCACTGCACTCCAGCCTGGGAAACAGGGCAAGACCCTGTCTCAAAAAAGAAAGAAATAAAAAATAGTAGAATTTGTAAGAGGAAGCCTCAGAGTTGGTTGGCATTATTTTATAGAAAGAGCTTTGCTGTATGTCTTCTCTCTGCTCCTCTTCCATCCAGGCTCATAGTAGGAAAAAAGTTAGAAAAGGAGAATAAACAATGGCAAAGAGAGGAATAACAAAAATCCCAAGGCCTTTTTCAACTAACTACATTATGAACTCATTACATGAAATGATAGTCTGCATGAAAATAAGCAAAACAGACTTCCATGAATAGCTACAATAGAAGAGAGTTTAGATGAAAGATTAGACTCAGAGCCACAAAAAAATGGAATTTATGACTGTTGTTACATGTAATTATTACTGTCAAAATGTAATTGACAGCTTTTATATTTCATTCCACCCTGACAAAGGAACTTTGACAAAAAGTAAGTCAGCCACCAGCTTGCAAAGCGATACTACGTTCATAAGAAGTCTGAGACAACTACATAATGCAAGCAATAAACAGTTCCCTTTCTGCTACAAAAGCACTGCACATTTTCCCACATGGAATACGATCTTTTGAAAGTTGACACCTGACAGCCTGTTGGCCTCAACCCAACATATTAAAACAACTGGCAAGAATGGGAAAATTTTGATCGTATAGTCAAGGATAATAAAGGGATATATTTAATGAAGCTCATCATCTTTGAAGAAAGTTAATTTCTTTGGTGATTTATATAACACTCATTCTTCATTAATTGACAACAAATCTAACGTAGACAACATTTGACTCCCATAATATCTCATTCTGCTAGTGAAATGCAAATACTCTTCACTTGTGTTACTAAACCTAACACATTTCAAGTTCAGAGATTTTATCCAGAATTTATGTTATGATTGAGCCAGCAAATAGAATCCTATATCTTTAAGATGATGTTTGCCGCTCTGAATGTAACTGTCATCATAGTACATGATGATTTGTAGTATTCTATTTATGCTTTCTGGATGTGTGTTGCTTGGCAATTTCTGGGATGTTTCATATAATTTTAGAAGTGGCATCTATCTTAGCTTTTCTGAATAAGGATATGATTATATTTTATAAACTGTATTTGCGTTGGTCATGATTTCAATTTAACACTCATTCCCATAAGTTAATGTGTTAGGTTTTATAGCAACATTGGTTTTTCAACTTGCTGTGATGCCATTGATTTGCAATATCTAATTGATACCTTGAAAGAAGTAACGTTTCTCCAACTAAAGTTTTATCTTGTCAATATTTTAGCATCAAGTTCAAGATATAATACCAATAATTCCTGTAGCAGTCTTCATTCTCTGAACTACTACAAAACTTTGCCCTTGTACCATATAGTGAAAATATTAATGTAAGGCATTATGTAATAACATAAAGTTGGCTTCTCATGCTTTGAATTCCATTTTATATCTTCAATAATTTTTACATATTTATTTTAGAGTTGTTGAAAAAGAATGTTATTTCTGATTTTTAGTGGGGGTAGGGTGGTTCTAATCTTGTTATTTGTTTCTCTCACTTAGATGGCTTCACAGATTTTGTAATTTTGAATTTGGGGTCCATGTCTGGCAGAGCATTTTTTTTTAATTGCATCTATGGGAATCCTTTACCACCAAAGTTAAGGATGTTCCCATCCAAAAAAGATTTTGTACCAACTTCTGCCAAGTGCTCCAGAGAACTTCATGATAATTTCTCAGCTTAAGGGTTCACAGGCCACAGAGCATAAATTCAAATCCCAAACATCAAGTGAAGGAAAACTAAGTCCAGTTTCTGTTTTGTTTTTGGTCTCTGGTAATGTCCCTTCCATCCTAGTAAACTCACTCATCCATTTACATGTGACTATTTTATTAAATTCAGTACTTCCAACTACTTTATACTTGGGAGATTTTTATATCATGTAATCTGCCATATTATTAAAACCAAACCACCAGCATCAAAAATTACATGCTTTTTTTTCCCTAGGTTACTGTATATATTTTCTTTCTTACTTTTTCAGCTTAATTACAACTTATTTTCTTAGCTTACTTGCAAACGTTCTTCAAAACAAATAACTATAAATTTGAAAAGAAAGCATGTTATACTTGGATCCAATTATTTAAACTGTAAAACAAAACCTGTCAAATCCCAAAATGTCATGATTGGATGACTTCAAACAACACCATAGTTCCAAATCAGACACCTGGCAACCTGGTTTATGACAACGGCCATTGGAGTGTCAAGCGTCAGCCTATCATCTTCTGCTTCCTTGATATTGGCAAGATTGATGTGGAAAACTGCCTTTGGAGATATGGCATTACTGTGATATTCGAAACAACACAAATCAGTATGAAAACATAACTTAGAAGGAACTATGCCCTTCATTGTGATTTGAGAGTTAAATAAAGCTTGATCAGTCCAAAAAAAGGTTTCCCCTTTATCTTAACATGACCTCTTCCTGTACCCCCAGGCTGAATAGAGTCTTACTGAGTTACATGCAAAACTGTTATAATTATCTCCCAAAAGCTGCAGTGAAAATACACTAGTTCC